GTCAGCAGTGTGCGTGCTAGAGGAATTGCAGGAACCGAGGAGTGGTATATTGCGGGAATCGTAACTGCGGTGCGGAGGATGTAAACTAGCAACAAGTGACCTCCTCCGCCACACCTGGCAGTGGAATGTACAAACACAGACATCCAACCCACAACACCAGCAGTCCGGACTGCTGCAGAGCAGCAGGTCTTACAAATATGTAGTCACTAGAGGGCGTGATGTGAGCAAACGCCCACTGGTGAGGAACACTGGGAAAGTATTTTGTGATTTAAAAAAAACAAATCTGGATTACGCCAAGAATGCATCCTTGCCCCAGAGTTGTTTTGTCGAATCGGCTGGATAATGGAGCTAGCCTCTACATCCTTGGGAATAATGTGAGACCAGTCATTTCAGGAGATCGACTGTGCTGACGACGCAGGACGATCCAGGTGTGCTTCCAACAATTTCAAGATATCGCATGCACTCTTGGACTCACCGTCTTAATGGCAGAATCCAAAGATGCAAAACGTAGGCAGTTGACCCCCCTGACACCAACACTGCAGGCGATGCCAGCATTGTTGTCGGTGGCAAAAATGGCCTTAAATACCTCGGTTGCAAGCAGCCGTCGAGTGGCCGTTCGGCCACTGCAAGCCTGACATTCTCCACAGGGTCGGCCTAGCTGCATCCATTTTGCAATCTTTGCACAACATCGTGCCTCAAGGTCGCCTCAGCACATCTATAACAATCCGAATATACGAGACTTTATATGATGCCAGGCCTACTGTGTGGCAAAAATAAAAAAAGATGTGATGTCTCCTGCAGTCACTCTCAAACAGGCTGCCGGCCTTCCTGCCCAGACGCAGTGTCAGTGACAGCTGCTTGGGGTCAGATAGTTCGGTCCTTAGGAGTCTCATCAAGGACCGGTCTTCCCGCCATCGATGACATCGTCCGCTCAAGACGTGTCCGTCTGTTTGGCCACGTGGCGAGGATGGAGCACGTCACTGCTGCACATCGTGCCCTACTTGTATCCATCCAGGGAAAGAGTGGGAATCGTCCATCTCCATCACGGAACCGTCCAGTCGACGATCCGAGGGACTCGTGGCTCCATCAGATCTCTCGTGACAGCCGCCTAACCTCGCAGGAGGCCTCCTTCGACAACGCGGTGAAACGTGGACACTTGCGGTTGGCACAACGAGGGGTTTTCGTCGCCTACATGTTTGTGATGATGAGGGTTAAATATGAACAAAAACAGGTTGAACTTTCGGAATTCTAGCTCAGAACAAAGGTGGAGAAGGAACAGAAAGAAAATTGGATTGGGTGTTATCAGCCATGTAGTCCGACTGCATATTACCTTCCGGCTGTGTGGAATAGATCCTATTAGGAGCAGGTCGCCCTGACAAACTTGCTGCTAGGCGTAGGTTGTATGGGTGTGTATGAAGACAGTGTCCGCAAGGAATGGCAAGAGGGTGAAAGTGCTCGCATCTATTATAAAAGCCCGCCGTTACGTTTGTCCGTCAACTAAATTATGAGAGCCTTTCAGAAGGCATGAATCAAAAAGTTATAGAAAGTTGACGCCCCCCCTTGCCCCTCCCCAGATGTGGGGGTAAAAAGTTCATCCAACAGGTTTACAACAATTGTCGACTGCCCCCCCCCCCCCCCCATTTTTATTTTATTTTGTCCGCACATATGCCTATACACTCTACATACAATAGCGTCATTAGTATCTGCACGTATTTGTGGGGGGGGGGGGGGGGATTCAAGAGGACATCAGTGGGGCGACGGGCGAGGTACGAAGCCCTCCGCAGGAGTGAGGGTAAGGCGACCACAGGCCACCCAAATTCTAGCAACTGAAAATGGCATGGAAATACGGTGTTGGGTGAGACAGCGGTGGGTTAGCCGGGAGCCACGGGGTGAGATAAATTCCCCGAGGAGAGTTGTGCCTGAGCCAATTCCCCCATTCAGCACGCAGCACTGAGAAAACCTCACTTTAGGAGTGATGGGCTTTCTTCTGAAACGGCAGAGTGAAATGGCATTTGGAATATCGTGGGTGCCTGAAAATTTTTAATTATCTCATTTGCCATGAATAATGTTAGGAATTGCAGCATGAAGTGTAAACCCAATGAGAGTCACTGATAATAAAGCTTGTGCTATACCGAAGGGCCATTTCCCGAAACGTCCGCTATTTACATGTTTTTTTTCTTTTAAGGCAGTGTAATTGACAAATGAGTTTCTTGTTTGCTTTAGATATATCACTCATTCTTACAATGCTCATCTGGCCGGCGATGACCACGTGTTTGAAGAACTACAGGCACCTGCATCCACAGCGTCTTCATACGCTGCCATAGACAAGCACAGCAGAAGGTAAATTTCGCTGCGATACCGACTGCCACGTCACGGGCGATAGCTGTGGGCAGCGTCTTTATGCAATGGGAAGCCGTTTCCTTTGTCAGCCTCTGCGCACTGAATCCCCAGGCAGTGTCTCTGTGTTATCGGCTTTCCCCATAACACCTGGTGTACATCCCCAGGCAGAACATTCACAGTTGTTCATGCACACCCGGCAAACTGGTTAGTACGCAATGTTTGACCTCATAACATGGGTCTGTCTGTGCAGATGATACGCGGTGGGCTGTGCCACCATAAATGCATCTAAACAATTGAAACCTGACCACTTAAATAAGTGGATTTGTTTACACAGTGATGACAATGGAGATGGTATGCCCTTAGTCAATCTACTGGTCTTATATTTGCTCAGGCGCGATTGGGATACGCGAGCTGTACGGTCCAGGGATTAAGATAGGTGCACCGTAACTCGTGTGCAGGTGCAGCAAGTGTCTCCCTGATCAGATCAGCAATGGGCAGAACCACAGCCAGTGGCGTCATTCTACATTACCGTGCTCGAAGGTCGAGTCTTCAGATGAAAACCACTTTTGAATCGCTACAAAAGTGGTACCTATTGTATTGACCCTGTAAGGATGACAGGATGAGTTGGTCACCAACTAGGTTTTGAAATCATCACCTTCTGATTGTGGGCCAACTTCTCTAACCACGGGACCACCCAGGTTATAACACGCCTTCATTGCTCCTCTATGTCACCACATGGATGTTGATTACAAAATATATAATTAAGTACATGATTTTGATTGAAAACTTTCGTGACTTCAGGGATTCATATTCTTGGTTCTTTCGGTAAAGTCGAAACGTCGTGAGAATTTTATTGTTTTATATTTTTATTATTTTATTATTTCCCTTCTACGTGACTTTACCGAAAGAACCAAGAATATAAGTACATGATGTTGGTTTATAACCCCTTAAATTGTGTGCTCCACATTCTGTAATAGAACATGAATACAGTGTTGTACAGCATTGTATTAAGTGCATTGGACTGGACTGACAGTTTGATTTTTATCAGTAATTGGTTTGGGTGAATTGAATGGCGATGGAGATACTGCCCGTCACAGTAGTGGCTCAAGGAACTTAAATATGACCAATGTTGTGTTGATCACAACGTAGATGTGTATGCAGGCGGGAGGTGATAAAGTAAAGCTTAAGACTACAAACCAAACCCCTCCGCATTTTTAACAGGAATTTTTCACTTTCCCAAATTCTTTTTAAGCCTGCCAGAAATGCACTCTGCCTGTAACGCAAATTAATGTTGTGATCCCCTTTTTTCCCCTTGAATGTTCAAGGACAGCCACCCAGTTGTATTATTCTGCGACTTTTTGACATTCAGTCCGACTGCATTAAGACCACGACCGCCTTGTGGCTCCGTGGTAGTGAATGGCTAGCAATTGAAAGGTGGCAAGTCAAAATTCTAGTTGGGGAGTTGACTAGGCTCATCATTTCCTCCAGGGTCAATAAAATGAGTACCACTTTGTAGGGAAGTCAAAAGTGGCTCTCTTGTGGACAGACGAATCCCCGTCATAGTAATGTGGAAATTTCACTACTGGCTCAGGACTGTTCGTAGGAAATGAACACTGCAGTTAATCAGTTTAGACTTTTAGTATTTTTTGTAAGAGTAGAAGCTTTGCAGACACATTTACAAACATGTTTGCATATCTCTAAATATAAATACTGTACAGTATATATGTATTTTGCAGTTACTTGTTTATACAAAATATTCCTGTAACTTAACTGTACGCATGAAGCAGCATTTTCACAACTTTATAGATAAGTGTGCAAATCAATTGTATAGCATCTTGAAGTGCAGCTGCATTTAGATGCTATATGAATCCACATGTTATTGTCATTTGTACTGGAATACATTTACAATTAACCTGGACAAATACAAAAATCTATGTAAACAAATACTTTAATGCTTGTTAATTTAATATACTGTATAATATGTACGTGTAGCTTACTATAACCCCATTCATTCATAGATGGATTAAATTATTTATTATTATGGCTGTGAATGGAAGATCAGGCTGAATGGAGCCTGTTGCATAGCCCATGTCACCATTAAATCTCCAAACAAGGAGGAGGTGGTGTTGGCATGAAGGAATGTGGTGTGGCTGTACACAAGGCTTGCCCAAACAGAGCACAGGAGCAGGCTGTCAGCAAGTCATGTTGACATTTCATTGTGTTGACAGTTAAGATCCAACAACCCAAAAATGCTGGGCATCCAAGTTGCATCCTAACCCTGCGCCTTGTTTAAGAGCATCTATTTCTTGACTTACAAACTACTGTCACTACAGCGAACCCATATTTCACGTTGGATAGACATCTTTAAAATGCTAAATTCCCAACAAAGGTTTCAAAATTTAAAAAAAACTACTTTTCGAATGGATACACTTTGAAGCAGTGTTGTCCTTTGTTTTAAACCATCGGTTAATTTCAGACTGTTTTCTTAATAAGTCAAGGCTTTGTGGTAGGGCTTGCAAGTGACACGTAAAAAACTTGATTAGAAGCTTGATTTAATTGATTAAATAATTTTCCCATACAGTTGCATGATAAAACAATCATTGAAAAATGTGACAGCAAGCTCTTTCTTGATTCAGAGATCTCAGTTCGACTGTTTAGGCATCACCAAATGTGCTTGGTTGCTGGAAAATGCTCATATACCTGGAAGAAGATGAATACCAATGAATCCACTGGCACAGGTGAGGGTGATAACTGATTATCATTTTTGCTTCCAAAATCCTAGTTTTTTAAAAGGGCAGTTAGTGGTCATCTATGTATGTCCCTTCACAAAAGAGATCATATCTGCTGGTGTCTGATATTCTGAAAGACAACTTATTCCCATATAATTTGATCTAATAACAGGCCCCAGGTCTCAAGTGGATTCTTGTCTACTTCATGTAAATGGCATAGAACCAACTTTTTGTGGGTCAGCGGTTGTGGGAATTCTGTGCTGGGCTGCAGAATGCCTGCCCAGGCTTGATGGCTCACTAAGATACCACAGGCATCAGTAGGCTCTATCCTATTGCTGCCATTTCCCTGAAGGCATACTGGGTTAATAACTCAGTATTATTATTGGCCATGTGACATCCTACAGAGATAAATACCCGAACATTAAAGGTAACAAACTTTTCAAAGACGACTTTGCAAAGTACTGTTAAGTTAAGTTTATTTGTTAAGCAATTAGAACTTGAGACCAAGATAGTCTCATTTGTACACCAATGAAGCAAATAGAAAATCAGTTAAAAGACAACAGGAGAAATTGAAAAAGTTGCACAATTATATATAAAAAAAACATATTTCCTGCAATGTAAGTTGTCTTTGACACATTTCTTCTAAACCATTCACAGTTAAATTAAGTGAAAGAAACATTAATCAGATTTATGGTAATTATTGCACTAATATGCAAGTACACAAGGATATATGTCAAATACAACTTAAATTTACCATCATAACTATTCTGTATTCATATAATTATCAAGAAGTGCAGTGCATAGCAGTGGTTAACTCTGTACAAAGGTGTTGCCCAACTCGCCTCTGTATCACATGAATGAATGGTTGTACATCTATTCAGATTTATATTGTAACACTTTTCATGAAAATCTCATTACAGCAATTCCTTCTTTCTAAAGTTTTGATAATTTTTGAAGACCTCGGTTTGTGAGCTTGGATGGCTGCATCCGTTTTCACTTAATCAAATACCTTTTTATAATATACGAAAACCAGGCATAATGGTTACATTTTGACTTAAAACTTTCATGACTGCAGGAATTCATATTCTTTGGGTCGTTTGGTAAAGTCACGTAGATAGAAAAATAAAACAAAACAAATATAATAAATCACGACATTTCGATCGCAACACAAACGGTCGTCCTCAGGCAGAAAAAATAATCCAGCAGTTCCACTGCCTGAGGACGACCGCTTGTGTTGCGATCGAAACGTCGTGATTTATTCTTTATATTTTGTTTTATTTTTCTACCTACGTGACTTTACTGAAAGAACCAAAGAGTGACAAAAAACTACGACGTTTTGATCACAACACAAGCGATCGTCATCAGGAGGAAAGCTTGTGAATGTAGACTGTTTTATAGGGTGTAGTCCTAGAGTCATATGTATTTAGTCAAAATAAAAAATACCTTTCCTATTAACCCTTACCTGGTTCAGCTCTATATTTGACCATTATTTGGTTCACTGATTTCCGTGCATAATCTATATAGGTGTGACAGGATACATACATTTATGCAGTTCATTTTATCCACTTTGGTCGCAAGAGTATGGTCAGATTATGCATTTTACCAACACTTATGTGGAAAAAGTTAAAGTGAAGATGAACATATATATATATGTGTGCCCCAATGTTGTTGTCATGACGGTGTCAGCAGGGTCAAGGAAGTAAACACTGCCCTGGATAAAATGTGCGTGCGTGCTGGTCTCCCTGCTCCGTGGGCTTGGGAACAGCAATTGGCGCTTTCCCAGGCTGGGCTCTGATCCATGACAAAAGGATTAAGAACCACCACGTTAAAAGGAGGCAAAGTCTCCCGCATTCCTTACATGCCATGTCAGATTGGACGGGAAGGGAGAAAGCACCTTATTGTGTATGGTGGTCTCTAAGGTTGCAATGCTGTTCTGTCAATTGGCACCTATGTGGGTTTGTCTTATGAATACATTTGTGTTGGTGCACCTTTTGCTCTCTTGGTAGATTGGCAAATTGCATTGCTATATTATTTGTTCAGATTGTAATTTTTAATCATGCACACCAATGCAGATAGTGACCATGTTAGGCAACAATAATCACTGTGCTACAGTTGATAACATCTGTGAACCACCAAACTGAGTTCTCACACATGCTGAATGAAGGTAAAACCTCACTTTGATTGAAACATGTAAATTACTGAGCACGTATGAGATAAATGTGAAATAAGGGATCAGAATTTGACAGTTTTATGTAAAACAAATCTAATGTAAATTATTATCTGTCCACAATTCCTTACTGTAATTATGCATTCTTCAAGTCCCTTGATTGAGGGATACAAGCTTATACAATGTTCGGTGAAAGTTGCTGAATAAGCCCGAGGCGTACCTCTGACCGAATGTAGGCATGTGGGTGGGTGGTCTACGTATGTATGTGTGTATGTTGAACTTCTTTCACACCGTACGTAGCCAACCGTGCTCATCGGAGGTGCTATGGTCTACGACTGGCTGAACACGTATGACTCCAAGGCTTAACTAATCAAAATGTTTTACAACCAAAGTGCATGCATTTGTCTACATATATTTAAATATATTTCTGGAAATACAGCATGCATATAAGTATGATGTCGGCAAGGTTATTCAGTTGGAACTCAGCTGAATTCTTATGTTTAAACATCCCCTTGTCATCATTATAGTTTGGCAATAAAAACAGATGCCATAAAATAACATTTTCTAAACAGATGATTCTTCACCAGTAATGAATGGGCATTATGTTGTAAATTTAGGCCTGTAGAAATAAAGGGACGACTGTGATTGTCTTTTTTTGCTTAACAAGTAATGTTTAGCTGTATCTCAGCATGATTCCTGCGAGGACCAGAGTCGCAATGAGGCATGGGTCGGCAGGGGAGAACCCTGCCCGGTCTTGCAAGAGGGCTGCAGCTTTCTGGTGCTTCATGTGGCATATCACATTTGGCAGGTCTCTGGAAATAGCTCTTCCCAAGTATGGACCATTAGAGTTTCCATAAACATGGCTCTCAACAGACTGATCACTAAAATCACATTGCATAGCTCTGCCTGTGTCCTCTTTAGTGGGCAAGATACCAAGTTAAGAGTTATTTCCTCTTTTCCCTTTGAAGGCCTTAGACAGCCATTTGGAGTGCCGTAGGTGGGAGGGGGTTTTGTAGGTTTTTCCAAGACTGATCTTACTCTCTCCCCCCATCCTTTGGGTGCCAATCCCTTGGCTTCCACCTGCATACCTGTCACCTGCTTCTTGCCATAATTTGCATTCAGTGTCAACTCTTCTGTGTTCAAAAGACCACCTGAAAGGGCTAATTTTAATGAACAAGTTCCGTATCTATGATCAATGTTCCGATGTGCATTGATGCTCACCAAATTATATTCTGCTATAAGCAGATGTCAATACTGTGTAACGGGGCGACTGGTCTAACCAAAACGCACTACCCTCTGCTGTGACACCTGGGCCAGAAGTCCCATGCATATGTAGTGACATCGTGGATGTCACTGTGTGGTGCCGGCCCTAGAGGGGCACGGCGTGCGATGTACTCCCATCGCGGACATCACGTATGTAGCAACATCATGAATGTCACTGAGTAATGCCGGCTCTAGCGAGGCACGGTGTGCGATGCATTGACATCACCGACACCCCATAGGTGGGTGTAGTACCAGCCCTAGAGGGGGCTCGGTGAGCGCTGGGATAGCGCTCAGTGGCACCACGCGTGGCGTACAGTGCCGACTCCTACAGGAGGGAGTGTGAGAGTGTCAGCCATGGGATGAGGTTACCCTAGGCCATGGCACTCTGGTTGACCCTGGAAGGCACGTGACAAGTAAGATCTACACAGGGGCCCCAGGTGGGGGCATGGGGGTGGTCATGTGTCAGGGTGAGATCCTACGGGAAGGGTCGGGAAACGACAAGAGGTTTCTCGAAGGTGGTCGTGGCTAAGGGCGGAGACCGCAACGACCTGGGAGCATATAAACCGGGACCCCACAGGGACCGGGGCTCTCGGCGTTGCTGTTGTCATCTGAAGATCTACGATATACGTTCTACGTCCAAGAAGAAGTCACCAACAAGCGGACGAGGACCCAAGCCAGAGTCCTGTCCGTTGTAGCTACTCCCAGTAACTAGCATAGTTAGCCTGGTGGTCCACCATCATAGGTTATCTGGTAAAGGGGCAGTAACCCCTTTGTGTAAATGTGTTGGTGTTAATAAATGTGTTGCCTCCAAGAAGTACGTCTGCGACTTAGTTGAATCCACGACACATATATACATTTCATTGAGATTTGTGTGTTGAAATTAGCATGAGCCCACTGAGAAAGAAGCCTTCAGGTAGGCCTTCTGGCTTTGGGAGTCTCTGCCTCACTCCCAACTTCACCTCTTCCTTGTGTGCACCTCTCAATGCAGGCTGGGTCAAAGGCAGGTCATCCACTGGGCACGTCCCAGACACATTGAGTAGCCAGCGGTCAATGCAGTCCTTGTGGAACTGCAATATAAATAATTAAATATGTCCATATAAAGCTTTTTGTATTGGCATGCAACAAAACTACCATGCATTATTACAGTTTACATACGATACTTCTAAGAAATAACATCTCTTGTGAAGTAACCAAACAGTAACATCTCTCATGAACAAAGCTGTTTGCTTCTCTTAACAGGTAAGCAACTTAAGTAAACACTAATCTTCAACCAAATAAATCTCTTCAGCTACGCGAATGGGAACCATGTCTCGAGAAAAAAATTAAGAACATTACATGAACTACAGTATGCCTCATTTTGTCACGTATTATATAGAACCAGTACCTATATTTAACAAAAATGTATACACACTTCCCAACTAAATTAACTGTTATGAAAACGAACGAGTGTGAATATTTTTATTCTTCAAAGGAGTGAACAAGTGGGTGATAAGACTTAATGCGACATAAACATGTTTAGGCTATGCTTGTGCGTGCTTCCTTTAAGAGGAGGGACGGCTTGCGTTAGCATCGCCCAAAGTGTTATCTAACTTTGTATCTTGACGATTGCAGAAACACTCCTGTGCAAGCACTTGCATCCACAGTTCGGTGATGATACACTTTCCCACACGCATGGAGAAATACCATCGAACGAAGGCATTACCAGCGAGATCACATTTTGTGAAGCTAGGGTAAGCTTGGTTCCCACATACTGTACTGTATACCTGGAGGGTGGTGTTGAAAAGATAGCCTTAAAGGGATTATTATGGTTTGAATAGCACATACCTGCGCAAGAAAAAAGGTTGTGTTTCTAACACATTTTAAGGAGTAGAGTATATCGGGCATTTAATAAATTTCGTTGCACAACACAGGCATACCAATACGTGTCAATCAATAATGTATTGCACAACAGAGCCAATTTTACATAAAGTACAAAGTGCATTATTTTTTGCCGTATAAGTCACAACAGTGTGTTGCCACTAAGGCCTGGTTACATCGGAGCATGAATGGCCTGCATGTGTGTCGTTCTTTATGAAAGTTTCAGCCAAGCTACTTTGGCAAACAAGTCGCTTATCACCGAAGTGAGCAGGAGTGAAATGTAACGAGATGTGTGTTCAGTCAGATATGCATATCGCCAGAGCGTGTGTACATCAGCAGTTGTTTACGGACAAAACCCTCGCCAAGTCCCGTGACACTTTTTTCAAGAGGGTCCTGCCAAGTTTTGTAATAGGGGTGATGATTGTTACATATAATCCAAATTTAGTAATTTGTGGGTCATTTTGCACATTTGACAAATTTGGACCATGGCACCGGAACATGAAGGGCCTGATGTTGCAAATTATGGCGTGAGATCTTTAACGTTCAGTGTGAAGCAGATGGTGCGTATTATTACGGTTAATACAACTACAGCATTAATGAGGGTAGCTGCTGGATTTCAAGCATGTATATATGTATTTTTAACTTCTTTTACACCGTACATGGCCAACCATGCTAATCGGATGTACGGAGAAAGGACAACGAAATAAACGCAAAAAATAACCGTAAAAAACAAGTGGCGAACGTGCTACTGCAAGACCATGTCAACCACCCATGAACTACATGATAGAGCAGAGAGACTCTTACCATGTGCCGGCAGGGTAGAGGGCGCACGTGCTGTCCCTGCCTGAATGACCTTAGGCACACACGACACTGTCGTCCTGGAGCCATGAGCCGACTCCGCGGACCCACCGACAGGATGGGGAGCGAGGCCAGGGCACTCTCCTGCAGTGCTTCACCTGGACAAGAGGCAATTGCACTGCAAAGGAGCACAAGAATAACAGTGTGAACAACGGGACTTCCATGAACACAACTTTAAAAATATGTACATGTCTGTAGGTGATAATAATTTAATTTACATTCATTTGTAAGGTGCCAATTGTAAGGAATTCCTCAACTGAGGCGCAGACAGAGCAAAGAGGAGTATAATGAGAATAACCCAGAAAAGGATGTGGATTGGACTCATTCTTAGAGGTTCACGCTTCATTGCGGAAGTTCTGGAAGGATGTTTGATAAAAGGCTAATATGCACAAAAGAAAACAATTCTGCTTGATGACTTTAAGAAAGAGGTTTGTTACAGTGTAATTGAGAAACTAAATATTGGACATGTTGGAGTTTCAAAGTTTTGCCATTGGGAAGATAACTAAAGATGGAGAAGTCTGCAGATGGTGCAAGAGTATATGGAAAGTAGAAGATGTCAACTGGGGTAACTTCATTCAAGAGTGGTTAAGAGTAAAGTCAAATTTCGATTTAAAGCTTTCGTCACTGCAGGGATTCATCTTCTTGGTTCTTTCGGTAAAGTCACATAGAAGGGAAATAATAAAATAATAAAAATAAAACATAATAAAATAATTCTCACGACTTTACCGAAAGAACCAAGAAGAGTAAAGTCAAAGTTATAGTTTCCATGCTCAAATGAACATTGAGATTGCATGCATTTTGGTTGGCAGTCACGAATCAGCGGTGAAAATTCCACATTCCCTTGGTGGGGGGCCAGTCTCTCCAATAATGACCTCCTTCATGTGGTACTCAATGTGGAGGAATGATGAGCCGAGGCTTCCGACACAGATCATAATTTATCCACCAGCATTTTAAATCTTAAATTTTCGATTGCAAATGAAACGCTCTACCAACAGTGCTACTCGATATATGCATGTATTAGAATAAGGAAACCCGTCTTTGTTGCTAAGAGTTGGCACTCGAAGAGTGCCCATGTCATATGATACACACAAAGGTGAAAGCTGTTTACACCACACGACATCCTGGCAATGTTTGCAATAGCAATCACATCCATGTTTTCCTTCCTTGCTGTCGACACCCTTATTTGCAAACAAGTGATAATAATGAGGGTGTCTATCATTTAACATTAGCAAACATTCTGGTGGACAAGCTAAACAATGAGCTGCTTCTATTATACCTGACAGGGTGGTGCAGCATGGCAAAGGGCAGAACAGATAAGCATATTCCGGTTGTGTTTGATATGTGCAATGTCTGCTCAAGCGGAAGTACAACACTGAAACATTGAATTATCACCAATCTTTATGTTGAATATTTGAATGCACCAATAGCAGTGCAGCATTTCTAACCAAGTCAGAGCTCAGTGAGACAAGACTCTTTTCCAAGGGAGATTATGCTCAAATACAAAGAGAATAACAAGTGCCAGTGTTTAATTTTGTTACAGCTTCTACTCTAAGCATTTAAGCACTTTGTGTGGTTTTCCCCCGATCTTTACAATATCCTACGTCCATGGCCAAGATCTGAAGAACCGTTTTGGAAACCCACACACACACGATGCGTGACGCGAATTTCAGCATGGAAAATATGTGGATCAACTCGTGGCATTCAAGCAAAATGCCCAAAAAACACCGACTCAGTGAGCCCACCACCACTACACTGCCCGGCTTTGGTCTTCCAAAGAAACAATGGGGTTGTGCTGAACCGGATCCGCCGGAAACCATGGAAGACACGGACACCTAACGCACAGGTGGAAAATCAAAGACTTTCTCCTGTGCGTGACTGTGGCTACAAACTCCAAACCGTGGACTTTATAACTTTGATCTGCGCAAAATATAAATGTGGATGTGAAGGGTGGGTGTGTCTGCAATTCACAAACTCTGAGACAATGCAATGCAATGGATAAATCAATTACAACTGAACCTCGAATGATTGCTCTTCATAGGTCAAAGGAGAGAAGAAGTATTTTCTCCCATGCCTGGCCAGTTAACAAAGTGAAGTGTGTACAGCTTAAGCGCACTGCGTGGGACGCTGTGGTGATTCATACTTGGTACAGCCCTGTTCCCTGGCATTCGTCCGCTGGTGCTTCACTGAGGGCAGCAGCTGCCCGCACTCTGTTTGTACCGGACACCAGCTGGAGGATCGTGTCTACAAAACAACCAGATGCATATGCATAGTGTACACAAATAAATAATATTACCACGTTCTACTTGTCTTGATGGTGCTGTGGTGTAATGGTTAGCACTCTGCATCTCTGTCCCCCCCGCCCCCCAGAAGTATAAACGGGTACATCACAGTTAGGTGATGAGCAGGTCGCAGTATGGAAGAGTAGATCAAAATACCTTCTAGAGGGCCTCTTTACAGTGCCTTCTAGTGGGGGCCTTTCCGATATCAGTGGTATGAACAAGACATTGCAGGGCTGCACTCTTACTTTCCGTAGCTTTATTTAAAAAAAACTGACAGTTAGTGAAACAACATTAGGAGACAATTGAAAAACGGAGGTAGTGTAATGTCCATCAATCAGTCATGGTATAACCATGAAACGAACATAATGTACTCCATGCATAACAATTATAAAACTGCATTGAGTTAATTTGATTTCCTGCACATTGGGACTTTATTGATAAAGTTAGCACCTTCTCACTTCGTGGTTAGATTGATATATAATGCTCAGGTGTGGTGGAACAAAGACTAGGTTGACACATCGCCTCGCTGTTTAAACACTTTGCAACCCTTGCTGCCGGCTCAGCACCATTAATATTAGTAGGGAGTAAACATATGGGTGTGCTGCATTCTTTTTTGGCAGAGATTTATTCCCGTTTTCATGGGATTACTCAATATACATATGCACACACACATATATATATAAAACAGCACATATTAAGTGCAAACAGGGCTACCCAGAAGTTTCTGGAAGCCCAGCGCAGATTGCTATGTGGGGGCCTCTTTAGTGTGAGGCCCAGGGCAAATTATCCCTGCCCACCCTTCTGGGCAAGCTAACAGCAAATTATATATGTATGTTGAACGTCTTTTGCACCGTATGTAGCCATCCGCACTAATCGGAGGTGTGGGGGAAGGACAACCAACTAAACACAAAAACAGTATTATTTTATTATTTTCCTTCTACGTGACTTTACCGAAAGAACCAAGAAGAAAAAGTTCAAAAGAAATTAGTTTTCAATCCAGATTTAAAAGCGTATACCTCCAGTGGCTTCCTAATATCAGAATTACGATTAATATATAATTTTTGAAAAGATAATGCTAAAGGAAGGAAACATAACTAAATTAACTACGTAAAATGATTCATGTAGCTATTTTAACATTTACTATACATACTCTAGAATACATATCACACAACAGCCATATTTTACTTTCCCTCATTATGTACTTAAACGTATAGAATTTCTGTGTCAAAAAAATTGTTTGAAAAATGCATGCACTGGCATGGTTACTAATGCCTGAATGGCAGCACCTGCAAGCCTGGCTGATTACAAAGCACAGTGGGTGGACAACTGGCTTCCTTCCGAGCCTTTAAAGTCTACACCTGCAGCCGTCTCAGTTTCACAGGCAACGTACCTCAATAAATCTGTGAATAAAGAGTGTACAGAATTGCCTACTAGCTCTCCTTCTTACCAATGGTTGGGGCAGGAAATGCATACCTAGCCCAAGTTTCAGGGTGCTCGGTACAAGACAAAAAGAAGGGTAAGACTACACCCCGAGAGCTCAGGAAGTCAGTAGCAGGTGGAGCGAAGCGTAAAAGAGTGCAACACAATGCATGTCAACTGTCCTGATGTGCAACTCCGTGAAAAAAAACTATTAAACTTTTTTTTATTTTACCAGGTAAGGCCCACTGAGTTATATAACTATTTTTCAGAAACTACCTGACCACAAATGATAGCTCAAGAAAGTGGCACATCATGTGGAAATTTATAGCAGCCACATACTCTAAACGCGTGATTCTACATGTGGAGGGAAAAACCGGAGGACCTGGATAAAAATCCACGCGACCACGGGGAGAACATGTAATCTCCAAATATGCAGGTGTCAGGGTCGGGATTGAACCCACGACCACGTGTATACCAGGCGAGGAAGTTAACATCTCGCAACCAATGTATTTTGGAAATGCGTAATTGAGTACATGTATACTAACCTCGATGCTACAGTAGGTAATTTTTATGTTGTGAAAAGTGCAATACAGTATGTAAAGACAACCTTTACCACTCAAGAGAAATTATCCATTGAAACAAAGTATGTTAATGCAATATCCCTACATGTTTGCACTCATCCAAGTGAAAGGAAGGCAGTCAGTCGACGTGGGTGTGCACTCATTGTGGCATCCCTGGCACAAAATCCTAAGTGTTATAGAAATCCCTCATAGTCTCAGTCAAGGCAATGCGGCCCCAACACGCCCTGACCACAAACTTGACTCAATCCTGAAATACTTCAGCAGAGCGTCCCAACTGCAAGAGCATGACATGAAGGGTCGGTGCAAGTGGGCATGCAGTTCTGCCACGGAAGGAACCAACGGTGAAAATCACTGCATTTTCTTTATGCGGCAAACTAAGAATTGTTCGTTTCTTTGTTCTTGCATTCCAGTTCAGCCTAATAGGTTTCAGTCAAAGTCACATGAAAAGCAATGCAAACACTGTGCATACAGGCTGTGCCATGCCTTTGTTATTCCCCTATTGAAAATGGCTTGCATCGTATAGTCCACATATATTGGTGGGAACGTTACTTTATCAACGCAATGTACATTATCACGTAAAATAACAACACCTTTGCTGTAATATTACTTCAGATATCTCAAATAGTAACTGAAATCCATTATACATACATATTTTTGTGCAAAGCTTTATAGTGATTGGTTCATCTATGCTCAAAACTTCGCAAAGTGTTTCCTGCATGATAGCATGAATTGCGCATGCATAATAGCAGCGAGCACATGTGCTTCCACATCTGAATGCCGATGGGCACATGTGATACCATGTGGTTATATAATTCTGTACTGCATAGACAAACAGATGAGCAGCTATGTTGAGACTTAAACACACAATGACTTTACCAGTAGTTTGCAAGAGGGATATAAATAATGGTTATGATTGGAGGGGAAATTTTCAATTGAAAAAACCCTCACTTTTCTAAAGACGAACATGTGATGGAAATGATTGCGAGCCAAGAAGCACTCCTGACAGAGGTGTATGTCCATGCATTCTGCACATCTGTCAGCAGAAAAAAACAATGTATTTGGTAAGAGCAGTACTTCTATGACACTGCAGAATCATTCAAATGAAAAACATTTTCTACTGTATTCACATTTTACCACTTGGCCAATGTATAGCAGCGTCAAACATTAATAACGCGATTTGATCATTAAAAGAGACAGATTTACAACAATTCAAGCTCTTCACATTCGTGGATAACATAAATGTAAGTAATTGTTAAGATAAAAAATATACATGTTGCGAATAGTGAAACACCTTCAACATATTCAACGTGAAAGAAGACTATTTCATATTTGTGTTTATCTGAGAAACTGATATGTTTCATTGTCCTTTAATTTAATTCACAAATTTTAACCCTGTTAGTTCAACACTTAGGCTTAACCCTGTTATAACTGCATGTTAAAAAGACGGCTTGTTGCCATTAAAAATGTAGTACAATTATCCATAAAAACACATCTTTCATGTCCATCATATATATTAAACTTGCAAGCCAATGAGTAAAATGCACAATATTATGAAAACATAGTAATCTTAATTTATAACAATTTGTCTCCTGAATACATGGTTTCACATAGCAAATGTTTTAACTAGCAGGGCACTGTACTATAAGCCCATCAAAGATAGCACTGTGACCCACCCATTATAGCTCTCATACATTTGGTTATCTGGCAGAACCCGGCAGAGTAGTGCCCTCCTATAAACCTGTAAAGGCAGCTGCTACATCAAATGTAGTAGGTTGTTTTGTACACCTTGGCGCCTGCTGACAATGTCAGTATAGTAAATGTAACATGTAGGCTTTCATGACCAATATTGTAGGCTTACAATAATGACATCATCTTGCTCTATTTAAGATCGGAAGCAAGACGACTTCTTCACAATTCTGGCAAATCACCTGACGAAGTTGGTTAATATCACCAGAGAAACGTCATACTCAAGTGTACATTGTGTGGGTTTACTCGCCATCACACCAATGTGCTAAAGTAATAACTAATTGGCACGTTTTATTCACGTGACAAACCTTATTAATTGGCTGTCTGGTGGTGGGTTAATGACATATTTATGCGATCTAACCCAAAAACTTGTATTATTATTATTATTCTGACAGTATAGTACTATACTTTTTTATATTATTTAGTAAACTAAGCCTGCAAATTTGACGTCTGCTTGTTCCATCATGGAAACATGTGCGACGGTGAAGGCATCGGGAGGCCTTCATCCAGGAATTGATAGGACATGTCTAATTATGACGGTACATTACTGTATAACAAAACTTCAGTACATTTGCTTTGAAGCGTTCAATGTGGTCGCAATATGTAATATAGTTCAATGCTAGCATGAAAGACGGGTGGCACACTAGACATTTTGTGCATGAAAATGACTGATGTATGACATACTGTGACATACTGTGAATATAATTCTTAACCATATGGATAGAAATGTTGCTGGACAGCTTGAGATCACACGACAGAAAAAAAAAACTGATGCACGAGTGGAGAAGAATCTGTTAAAAAAAGTTATTGGGGCCCGTGATTAAGTGATGAGTAATGTGTACCAATTAGTGGCATTGTGTAGTTTTCTCTTCTTTGGAAAATAAAAGGAATGGTTTTAAAAGAGAACAAAGTTCTTGACGGATTTTCACTGAAAAATGCTGGGTTCGTAAAGCCATGTTTTTTATATTGTAGTTCAAAGTAGCAATGCAGTTAAAATATAAGGCTCTAGTTAACGCATACTCCAAATGTTATCATTAAAAACTGGACATGATTCATCTATATTACTCAAGACTTCACGGTCACGTTGTTTTAACCTTTCAAAATAGATTTTCAGAATTTACTTACGTAGGTAAATATAAAAATAATGACTCAAGACCTAAAACGTTATCTGAAGTTCTCAAGTTAGTCAAATTATGCATGACACTATCCAGTGCTACAAGATTATAATGTAAAATTAAGTTAAGTCAGCTTCGACTCCCAATGAACAACTGCTGAATGTGGTGTATTGTAATTGGTGAAATTAGTTTTCACTCTAAATTATTATGTGACAAAACACAGCTCTGCTAAACACAAATTGAAACGTCACTACATTCTGTAACTGGACATGTGTGAAAAAGAGCTTTATAACTCGTCGGATTCCTTCAGTATAAATAAAGATTGTGGACTTCGGTGTTAAGCCTAACACTAGAGTTGGTGTTGAACTAAATCATTTGAACTACGAAAGTGATCGTTCTTGAAACTGCCCTTTGAACAAAAAGGTTTTATTTCACGATAGTGAAGCCATATAAATTTTACTTAAAAATGCAGACATACTTGTTTCTGGAATTTTAAATATTATCCCACATTTTGTCTCAGGGCAAGTCAATACAACCCATTTCATTTGTCAGACAACTATGAACTGGATATGTCCTACACTGAAGCATTCCAATGCAAAGCTAATCCAGTAGCGGTACATCTTAACTTGACAATGTTTCTCTTTTTTTAAATTCCTGCATGATAGCTTTGATGAAAACACTCATTGCTTTTTCCTGTTTTAATCTCCAATTTGGTAAATTATGCAGCTGAACCAGCACAGTTTCCCCAACACATTTAAACAAACCTCAGCTGTAACCTGTAGCAAACTGGATATTTTATTGTTATGATTTCCAAGTTTTTACCAAACTAGAAAACACATTGTACAAATATAAGGTTCCCTAAAGCTGACCCACAACGTATGCTGCAGGAGAGTGCAATGCAGACGACCATGCTAGGGCCACATCCTACCTGTAGCAGGTTCCTTGGATGGGGCGCATTTGACAGTGGTGGCACGCAATGCCAGAATGAATGTGTAGACGGACCCTCTCGGCAGCTGTGATTAGCTGTTCAGCATTATTTGCCTCCTCCTGCAGCAGGGCATAAGTGCCAAAGCACTCCCGGCACAGTGGACAGCTGAGCGTCATCGAGCCATCATCGCCCTCCCTCGTCTGGTGGTCAGCCCACATCTTCATGCAGCTGATGTGCACGCTGTTGCCGCAGCCATGCCTGGAGCACATGAGCAACATGCCTGCATAGCGTCCTGCATTTTGTATTTGTGACAGTTTGTGTGGTTACCAGCCACTGTTTTAACTACTGCAGTGAGCTTATTAGGTTTCAGAAGTTACACGTTTTTACAGCAATTTCTGCATTGGATCCTAATAAATATTTAGCAGTGCAGTATATGTCCTGTTAAATAAGTATTCATCCCAATGAATAACCAGCACACCATGAACTGCAATGAACGTTGAGAGTTGTATTCATAAAGAAAATGCATCCCTCTGTCCCAGTAACCACTTCCTCAGGCAGTTCTCATACAAACTATGGCCTTGGCCATTTACATTCCTAACTGGAAAGCATATCATTTAACAGTACATTCATGACTATTAGAGGGTCTATTTAAAATACTGTTTATTATATGTGGTACTGATGAGGTCCTTTCCAAACAGATACTGTAACTTAATAATGTAGTTAATGGGCACCAATGTAAACAGTGCCCTCCTTTTGGGGCATTATGGGAATATGAATGAAACAGTGGTCTATGTTTATAAGACAAAACCTGTAAGCCAAACATGGTCTCATAGGGCACCCTTATGCGTAACGCTTTCACAGCGTATCAACAAGACGGCCAAAATAAAGGTGCAAACTACCTCATTTTCTGTCACAGGTGACACCATAAGGGGTAGATCATACACTCAACATGACCATGGCTGTTTCCACGTGTAATTTTACATAGGTCCAGGACTTGCACATAAATAGTGGCAGCCAAGAGAACAAACACTTGCATGTAATTCTGACCTGCAGTATGTGACAGGCAGCCTCCTTTTAAAAAACTCCTCCTGACAGATGGGACAGATGTCATTGATGCCGATGTCCTTCTGGGCCATAGAGGCGTGACTGCCAGCATGGGCAACGTTGGAGAGGTGCGTGGGCTGGGTGTTGGCAGGCCGGGCAGCTTGCGTGTGGTGCAATCCACTTAGCAGCTCCACAATTTCCCGTGCAACCAAGCCAACCTGAAAAGCATCTGCACATGCAGCAGCGAGGCAACCGACCATGGATGTGTGAGTCTATCTGTTGAAAGACGTCTAGAATGTTGGGACTCTAGTACTACATCCTGAGAAGCAATTTTGTTGCAATAAATCTTATGTGTAAAAAAAAATACGTAAATGGTTTCTTACACTCATGTTCCCTTGGCAGACGAAACTTCTTCAGGAGAAGCCTTTGACAACAACACACGCGTTTATGCAATGTATACTGTACTGTACAATAAGAACTGTCTTTGTTTTACTAAAGGTGACTACAGTAATCTGACATTAACTCTAAGGTTAAAGGGTATGTAGTGACAAGTGACAACATTCTAAACTCAGCACATGCAAATGAGTAAATAGTATGTGGATATCTGTCTGTGGCAGCCTCACAGCATTACCCAATCTAGCCTCGCTGTGGCGATAGTAATTTTACACATCATAGTTGTTGTAAATCGAGTTTCAAGTTTATTTTGTTGAACCAGGTAAGAAATCAAGAAACCCAGCGAGTCTTAATTGCAAGAGTGACTTGGGTAAATGCCAGAAAAAGTGTGTTGACCAGTGTAATAATACCAGAAATAATTAATAGATTTTATAGCGTCCAATACGTAATCATCTAAAGATGCTGTGGACTCATGTTTAAGATGAAAAACAGCGTGAAGTGTCATTAGAAGACAAAAGTGATACAATTTTATGTGTTTGAATTTGTGACATGTGAGGAAAAATAAATGCTCTGATGTCAAAAATAATCTCCCAAATCAAGTTATTGATGTTACCTTATGCTTCGTCGATTACATCTTGTGTTTAATGCTATGACAATGTGAAACCATTAGTTATAAAGTACTAGAAGTCAACCAACCAGCAAATGTGCTTGCACAAGTCCTTCTCTTTACAAAATGTCTGGCAGCTGCAGTGGTGTGGGTCCCCTAGCAGAACCTAGATATTTAAGGTTAAACAGTTAACAAAGTAAGGATATCACACATCAAAACATTCGCATTTTGTACTCTTTAAGAAGTTAAGATTATGTTTTATACCGTTACTTCTAGATATGGAACATTCTTCCTGTAAACGGTGTTAATCAAAAACCTCTGTTTTCATAGTGAAGAGGATGTTACGTGTTCGAGCAAATTTGTTTTAAGACAAAGTCATTTTCTGTACAAAACTTGGTTTATTTTAATTATGCTACTATAGCTGCTGTTGCTGATGTTATTTCTGATTATATTACTGCTAATGTAGTGATGACGAATCATATGTTTATCTCAAACTGCATTAAGAATATATTAGAAATACGAACACTTAAACCAGCATTATTTTGTTCTCTCTTTTAAATCACCCGTGTCTAGAACACATAACCAGATAGCACTGTGGCAGAGCACTAATCTACAAATCCTTACTCTTTTGTTCTTTCGGTAAAGTCACGTAGGTATAAAAAATAAAATAAAATAAATCACGACATTTCGGGCGCAACACAAGCGTCCGTCATCAGGTGGGAAAGCATGGCCTGCTGCTGATGCAGACTGTTTTAAAGGTCCTGGTTTGGAATTGACTCAACCCCTCATCCCTACATGTTCTATAAATAAGTACCACTTTGTAGGAAGTCAACATCATTGTCCTAGGGAGAGACTAGCTTCACCTATGGAAATGTAAAATTTCCATCACTGGCAAAGGAGCGCCAACAGAAATGAGCCACTCTATTGCTCGTTTAAGCATGCAGGCTCTTTAACTTGAGTTTGCAACTGCACGAACAATTAAAACAGTGATCATTTAAAATCAAGGTCAGGCACTCCATCATAGCACTATGGTAATGTCCCTGTGTTGACCTAATACACATTATGCAAAGAACAACACGGTTACATCAGCATAGTCCCGAAATGATGTGTAGAATCATAACATGAATTTTTAAATCATTAACGGAGCTTCAAATTCATGGCGGACAGCCTAGAATACATGACACTACCAGTTTTTTGGGTGATATCTTCATTCCATGAATTACTTCTAAGACTAGCGACAGGGAGGGGGGCTAGAGAAAATGAGAAGTGTATTAATGAAGCATAATGACACATGCCACGGGTTACCTTGACAGTGCTACGCTGCCCCTCCTCTTGCAGCATGAAGCCGGTGGGTCCAAACTGGCGCAGGATGTACATGGTGGTGTTCAGGGCCTGGTCTTGGCTCCAACTCACGAGGTCGCTCGCCTCACGCCGCCACCGCACACTGCGAGACATCCCTTCTCCTCACCTTCACTCTGCTTGCAAGCAGCTCAAGGGGCCCCAGCATCAGCTGTTATCCCTGAAGTATACAAATACATCGTCGGAATGACGAGAAACATAGTCATGGTCATAAACGAAGAACACAATCTGAACAGTGTGCAAAGAAGCATGGAGAGAAGCATGCTTAGATTTACACTGAGGGAAGAAAGAGAAATATCAGTTAAATATATATGGTAAAGTAGTTCAAGTGGGCTTGGGCAGGACACGCCGCGAGGAGGGATGATGACCGATGGTCGAGAATGGTGATGGAGTGACAGACAAGGATTGGAATGTGTCCTAGTTGACGTCTATCAAGGATACAGAGTGATGAAAGCATCTCATGTGCAGGTACTTAGATAATTATTACAACACTTTGCAGCACTGGCGGAGCCAGTGGGGGTGGGGTGGCACGTGCCCCCCCCCCCCAATGATCCGATCGAAATCCCTCATTTTGATCGGATCATTGAGGTGTATTCGTAATAAATCGGCATTTTGCGACCCCCATTGCTACTATAGCATATTATTACGTGCCAGGGACTCTATGAGATGATAGGACAATAGTCTGAGTCAATAATTGGCAATAAGTAATGGCAAAGCAGTCATAAGTGACTCAGAATTGTGCGCAGTTGCGTATACAGGACACGACTTCCCTGAAGGCAAACACCTTCAGCGAGCGCGATGCCGATCACACAACACGGTTCGAATTCGACCCTCGGTCGATGGCTGTGCCATTGCCACAAACACGTCGAATAAAAAGCAAGGGACAAGTCCTTACTTACTAACAACTCCTCTATCATTTTTCATTGCTGGAGGGGTTGCCCCCCTACCTGAAAATCCTGGCTCCGGCATTGCGTTGCAGGATCATAACCCGTCATGCAACAGTGATGACTGAACTGTATGATGAATATGCAATTTGTACTTGGGCCTGTAACTCGGACGCAAAATGCATGGTAAAGTGTGAAATCCACACCATTAACAGGCAGAACGCCCCTATCTAAAAGTTGTGAAACACTAAGTACCCTCTATTGAATGGGCAGTTACTCCTCCTCTGCTGTGCTCGTAGTCTGGAACTCCCTTCCCCTGGTCATCCACACTTCCCCTTTTAAACTCCAGACTCAAGACCTTCCCCTTCACATCGGTCTATGGCTATCTTTCTATGAAGTGTCTCTCCTTTTCGTCTCTGCCCTGTAGCCTCTCCCTTTCTATGAAGTGTCTCTCCTTTCTTTCTCTGCCATGTAGCCTCTCCCTTGGCAATGAAAGTAAACTTTTAAAAGCCTTCAGTTTGCTGCACTGCGTTTGGTAGTAATGTCAGTAAATGTATGGTCATAATGCTCGGGTGTTGGATAGTATGTTGAAGGATTTTTTTTCATGGGTGGCACAATACTGTTCCATTTGGCTTGGTCTTCATATTGTAGTATGGGTTTTGGTCTCTCACTTTATTTAATTGACTGTTCACACTTCCCGTTGATGGCATTCAACTCTGTCCGTATAAAATAAAATTGTCTGTAAAAACAAACCCTCCTGTTCCAAGCTCGTAACGACTGCTCAAAGGAAACACATGTGGAGGTCGTGGAGGTCATGGGGGTCACGTTTACTTAAACTTGAGGAATCCGATGAGATAGTAAGCTCTTTTTCACACATGTCCAGTAGGGGCGGGTAAGAATGTTACAATATTTACATCATGAGGCCTCCTTTGCCAGTAGCAAAATATAATAATAGTTTTTTACCCTTTTTTCTTTCAGAAAAAAGGTTAAAAAACCTATTATTAATGTTACAATACGAATGATTTGCTTTTAATATAGCGCCCTATACACCGGGCAGGTCTCAGCGCGCGTCGCATCTCATCTCAACACATTTAAATGAGAATATTTATTCATACTGGAGTAATCCGATGAGCTATGAAGCTGCTAGTTTCACAGATTTTAAAGGCCCCCCCCCCCCTCCCAGTGGCAGCTGCCCCTGTGCGGCACAATGTGGCTCCACACCGATCCTGCGAACGGGCATTAGTCTGTCAGTAGGGGAGGGGTGGTGGTTGCGATGTATAATCCCACAAGAGTAATTTACGTTCGCATTGACATATGCTGCAGGCAGCGCATTTAAACAAAGCGATGTTTTTTCCCTCTCTCCAAGTTAAACGTTCCCCGCCGGATAAGGAAGACCACCCACAGACCGACGCGTCCGGCCAGCCGCGTGTCCACCGAGCTAACGCCGATGTCGCGTGTGCGAAACACAAAAGTATATACACTGTAAAATATCTGACATTTTACAAGAGACTGCGTTGACGTATGGCCAAATGTTCAAGCAGCGTAAATGCGATAAACGAGAGAGCGACCTTCCTTACTCATCACCACGGCGTCTTCCTGTTTGCTCGTTGCCGTGGCGACAGCGGCACCGCCCCCCCCCGCTAGACCACGCCCCCTCACCGATAGACCACGCCCCCTCACCGATAGACCACGCCCCCTCCCACCGATAGACCACGCCCCCTCGCCGATAGACCACGCCCACCCCGCCGCTAGACCACGCCCCCTCACCGATAGACCACGCCCCCCCCGCCGATAGACCACGCCCCCCCTCCCATGTTGGTGTAAAATAAACTCTCAACACAAAACTTAATTTGGAGCTTTCGTGACTGCAGGAATTATTTTTTTGGTTCTTTCGGTAAAGTCACGTATAAAGATAAAATAATAAATTAAATACTAGTATACGACGTTTCGATTGCAACACAAGCAATCATCGTCAGGTATAAATTAAATAGAAACACAAATCTAGTATACTTAGAAATGTAATGTAATACAACAGAGAGTCGGATAACATAACAGTCAACACCCTATCTGGTTGATTACGTTCTTCCTGAGAATGCTAAATTTGAGAGAGAGATACAACACAGAACCAGAAACATATAGACAGACATATAAGCAGACAGATATCACAGAGATACATAGAGAGCAAACATAGGCACAAAGAGAAACTACGCCTCTGTGTCGAGGCTTTAAATAGAGAGAGGGGGGGCGGGGGCGTGGAGAGAGGGAGGGGTTAGAGAAAGTAGCATGTCCATGAGTGGCAACGGTGAGTGGCAAGGTGTAAAAGCTTGAGAAAGGGGGGCGGGGGCGGAGAGAGAGGGGTTAGAGAAATTAGCAAAAAAAAACTCGCAACACGTCAATAACAACACTCTGTGTTTTGACCTTTAAAAGAGAACGAATATATAATAGGCGACGTTTCGGGCAATTGATCTTCTTCGTAGCATGTAAATAGAGAGACCAGAGAGGGATATAGTTCATGATGGTTTGGAGATTGCAAAGAACACCATGGGGCCTGATGAGAATTTAATAATAACATGTTTACTGGAACATTTGCCATTGTGGCAATGCATTCCTGGGCACCTCTGCCAGATAAGTGCCCAAGTGTATGCAACAAAATCAATCAGCAGACAATGATACATTTCTTTAAAATATCTGTCCCTCCACATAAAAATACTACTTTTTACACTGCATGTCAACCACAACGCCTTCTGAAAGTACCCTAACACCATTTCAACAGCATTGGTTCAAGACAACCAACTTTGAGCCGGTTTTGACATACAGTGTCAGGCCTGCTTTTCAATTAATGCTGGTGAATTGCCAGACGTTATAGGAAAGAGCACCTCTCTGAGATATTTGGTTCAAGCAGGCTTGACTTTGCTCATACAACACTGTTCAGGGTTTTTCATCAATGCTGCTGAAATTATGCCCTCCCAGAAAGTCATGGGACCGATGGGTTGAGTAAAAAAAATACTTAATATTTAATGTGGGGAGGCGGATATATGGAGACATATTTGTCTGCTGATTTATTTTGGTAAAGAAAAAAATGGGCTCTTTCCGCGTTCATAAAATTGGCGCAACAACTCTATGTCCTCAGTTGCCCTTAACACTTGTGGCGTCTCTTAATGACCTGACCCCTTAATTCGCGCAACCAAACGCGTGTCATTTCAAGTCCTACACAAATATAACTTGCCGCTGATGATAGCTGTGGTAAATTATAAATAAAATAACAAAACCACCCGGCCAACTGCCAACTCAACTGAAAGTTGCCACTGTCGTCCTATGCAATGTCAGCAACATTTTATTCGTCATCAATAGATGTTGGAATATAGGTCATTGTAGACTTATTTTAAAGCTTGTCTAGTGTATTAATAGTATTTTAACTATAATATTATACTATTTTTACTAGTAGTGTGCTGTGGTAGGGACTAGCAGAGCACATTTTCGACATCTATAAAATGTTGAATAACATTTGACCCACAAACGCAATCTCCACCTTATTCCCTTGAGTGATTTACTTTAATCTCGTTTGTTTATCCACAAAAGCTTCACCGGGTTTCAAGATGTCTTCAGGAGGGTCCTGCCAAGTTTTCGCAATGGTGGGAGATGTTGCTTTGTGTAAACACAACTCAGTAATTTAAATAGATTTTTTTCAGCATTGGGATGGTTGACCAATGACATTTTGTATTTTAATGAATGTAAACAGTTCTTTATTGGACCTGGAGTAGGTAGGTACTGTTATTAGGGGTCCCTGGGGCACTAAATACGACATAGGACAGGGGTAGGGAAAAGGGGGGCACTAGGCCATTAGATTATAGGGTATATGGTGATTAAGAGGGTGGCAGAGGGGATCAAGGCTGGTTTGGGGAACTCAGGGGCCCAATAGGAGGGGGTAAACAAGCCTCTTGCTAGTGTAGTCCCTCTATATGGGAAAGACAGAAGAGGGGCTAGAGTGGAGGTAGTGAGAATGGCTTCAGATAAAAGAGGGGATAAAGGCACGGTATAGAAAAGAGGCGTTGCTATAGTTTGGAGACATTACTATGGATTAGAGGGGTATAGAGTGGGGGGGGGGGGGGGGTAGAGACATTAGTGTGGGTATCGAGTAGAGTGGAGGGTTATCGAGATGCGGGGGGTGGAGTATATAGAGTGGGGAGTAAAGAGGAGGGTGGTATGGAGTAGAGGGGTGTAGAGTAGGGGTGGCATAGAGTGGGTATAGAGTGGGGGGATATAGAGTGGGGTTGTAGGGTATAGAGAGGGGGGTAAAACGTATATGGCGGTGAGGGGGGATTGGGTTGAGTAGGGGGTATAGTGGGAATATAAAGTAGAGGCTTAGAGTTGGGGGGGGGGGCGTAGAGTTGGGGGGTGTATAGAGTGGGGGCGGGGGGTGTAGAGTGGGGGGTATGTAGAGTGGGGGGGGGTGTAGAGTGGGGGGGGGGTATGGGGTGGGGGGTGTATAGAGTGGGGGGGGGGTATAGAGTGGGGGGTATGTGGGGTGTGTAGAATGGGGGTTGTATAGAGTGGGGGGGGGTATAGAGTGGGGTGTGTAGAGTGGGGGGGGGTATAGAGTGAGGGGTGCGTAGAGTGGGAGGGGGGGTGTAGAGTGGGGGGGGGTGTAGAGTGGGGGGGGGGTGTAGAGTGGGGGGGGGGGTGTAGAGTGGGGGTGGTATGGGGTGGGGGTGTATAGAGTGGGGGGGGTGTATAGGGTGGGGGTGTATGGGGTGGGGGTGTATAGGGTGGGGGGTGTGTAGAGTGGGGGGGGGGTATAGAGTGGGGGGTGTAGAGTGGGGGGGGGGGTGTAGAGTGGGGTGGGGGGTGTAGAGTGGAGGGGGGGTGTAGAGTGGGGTGGGGGTGTATAGAGTGGGGGGTGGGTGTATAAAGTGGGGGGGGGTGTAGAGTGGGGGGGTGTATAGAGTGGGGGGGGGGTGTAGAGTGGGGGGTATATAGAGTGGGGGGTGTGTGGGGTGTGTAGAGTGGGGTGGGGGGTGTATAGAGTGGGGGGGTGTAGAGTGGGGGGGGTGTATAGGGTGGGGGGTGTATGGGGTGGGGGTGTATAGAGTGGGGGGTGGGTGTATAAAGTGTGGGGGGGTGTATAGTGGGGGGGGGTTGTAGAGTGGGGGGGGGTGTATAGAGTGGGGGGTGTGTATAGTGGGGGGGGGGGTGTAGAGTGGGGGGTATAGAGTGGGGGGGGGTGTAGAGTGGGGGGTGTATAGAGTGGGGGGGGGGGTGTATAGGGTGGGGGGGTGTAGAGTGGGGGGGGGGGGGGTGTAGAGTGGGGGGTGTATGTGGTGGAGGGTGTATGGGGGGGGGGTGTATAGAGTGGGGGGTGTTTATAGTGGGGGGGGGGGTGTAGAGTGGGGGGTGTATAGAGTGGGGGGGGGTGTATAGAGTGGGGGGGGGGGTGTATAGTGGGGGGGGGGTGTATAGTGGGGAGGGGGTGTAGAGTGGGGGGTGTATAGAGTGGGGGATGGGGGGGGTAAATAGAGTGGGGGGGGGGTGTATAGAGTGGGGGGGGTGTAGAGTGGGGGGTGTATAGAGTGGGGGGGGGGTGTATAGAGTGGGGGGGGGGTGTATGGGGGGGGTGTATGGGGTGGGGGGGTGTATAGAGTGGGGGGGGGTGTATGGGGGGGGGGTGTATGGGGTGGGGGGGGTGTATAAAGTGGGGGGTGGGTGTATAAAGTGGGGGGGGGGGTGTATGGGGGGGTGTATGGGGTGGGGGGGTGTATAGAGTGGGGGGTGGGTGTATAAAGTGGGGGGGGGGGGTGTATGGGGGGGTGTATGGGGGAGGGTGTGTATAGTGGGGGGGGGGGTGTAGAGTGGGGGGTGTATGGGGGGGTGTATAGAGTGGGGGGGGGTGTATGGGGGGGGGGGTGTATGGGGTGGGGGGGGTGTATAGAGTGGGGGGTGGGTGTATAAAGTGGGGGGGGGGGGGTGTATGGGGGGGTGTATGGGGTGGGGGGGGTGTATGGGGGGGGGTGTATGGGGTGGGGGGGTGTATAGAGTGGGGGGGGGGGTGTATGGTGGGGGTGTATGGGGTGGGGGGGGTGTATCGAGTGGGGGGCGTATAGAGTGGGGGGGGTGTATAGGGTGGGGGGGGGGTGTATAGGGTGGGGGGGGGGGTGTATGGAGTGGGGGGGGGGTGTATGGAGTGGGGGGGGGTGTATGGAGTGGGGGGTGTATAGAGTGGGGGGGGGTGTATGGGGGGGTATAGAGTGGGGGGGGGTGTATGGAGTGGGGGGTGTATAGAGTGGGGGGGGGGTGTATGGGGGGGGGGTGTATAGGGTGGGGGGGTGTATAGAGTGGGGGGGGGGTGTATAGGGTGGGGGGGGGTGTATAGGGTGGGGGGGGGGTGTATAGGGTGGGGGTGTTATAGGGTGGGGGGGGTGTATAGGGTGGGGGGGGGGGTGTATAGGGTGGGGGGGGGTGTATAGGGTGGGGGGGGGGGTGTATAGAGTGGGGGGGGGGCGTATAGAGTGGGGGGGGGTGTATAGAGGGGGGGGGTGTATAGAGTGGGGGGTGTATAGAGTGGGGGGGGTGTATAAAGTGGGGTGGGGGTGTATAGAGTGGGGGGGGTGTATAGAGTGGGGGGGGGTGTATAGAGTGGGGGGGGGGTGTATAGAGTGGGGGGGGTGTATAGGGGGGTGGTGTATAGAGTGGGGGGGGGGTGTATAGAGTGGGGGGGGGTGTATAGAGTGGGGGGGGTGTATAGAGTGGGGGGGGGGTGTATAGAGTGGGGGGGGGTGTATAGGGGGGGGGGTGTATAGAGTGGGGGGGGTGTATAGAGTGGGGGGGGTGTATAGAGTGGGGGGGGGGTTTATGGAGTGGGGGGGGGTGTATAGAGTGGGGTGGGGGGGTGTATGGAGTGGGGGGGTGTATAGCGTGAGGAGTGTATAGGGTGGGGGGTGTATGGAGTGGGGGTGTATAGGGGGGGGGGTGTATGGGGTGGGGGGTGTATAGAGTGGGGGGGTGTATAGGGTGGGGGGGTGTATGGAGTGGGGGGTGTATAGAGTGGGGGGGGGGGTGTATGGAGTGGGGGGTGTATAGAGTGGGGGGGGGGTGTATGGGGGGGGGTGTATAGGGTGGGGGGGTGTATGGAGTGGGGGGGGGGTGTATGGAGTGGGGGGGAGGGTGTATGGGGGGGGGTGTATGGGGTGGGGGGGGGGTGTATAGAGTGGGGGGTGGGTGTATAAAGTGGGGGGGGGGGTGTATGGAGTGGGGGGGGTGTATGGGGTGGGGGGGGGTGTATAGAGTCGGGGGTGGGTGTATAAAGTGGGGGGTGGGGGTGTATGGAGTGGGTGAGGGTGTATGGAGTGGGAGGGCGGTGTATGGGAAGGTGGTGTATGGGGGGGGTGTATGGGGTGGGGTGTATAGAGTGGGGGGGGGGTGTATGGGGGGGGTGTATGGGGTGGGGGGGGGTGTATAGAGTGGGGGGTGGGTGTATAAAGTGGGGGGGGGGGTGTATAGGGTGGGGGGGTGTATGGAGTGGGGGGTGTATAGAGTGGGGGGGGGGTGTATGGAGTGGGGGGTGTATAGAGTGGGGGGGGGGGGGGTGTATGGGGGGGGTGTATAGGGTGGGGGGGGTGTATGGAGTGGGGGGGAGGGTGTATGGGGGGGGTGTATGGGGTGGGGGGGTGTATAGAGTGGGGGGTGGGTGTATAAAGTGGGGAGGGGGGGGGTGTATGGAGTGGGGGGGGGGGTGTATGGGGTGGGGGGTGTATAGAGTGGGGGGTGGGTGTATAAAGTGGGGGGGGGGGGGTGTATGGAGTGGGTGAGGGTGTATGGAGTGGGGGGGGGGGTGTATGGGGGGGGGTGTATGGGGGGGTGTATGGGGTGGGGGGGTGTATAGAGTGGGGGGTGGGTGTATAAAGTGTGGGGGGGGGTGTATGGGGGGGGTATATGGGGTGGGGGGGGGTGTATAGAGTGGGGGGTGGGTGTATAAAGTGGGGGGGGGTGTATGGGGGGGGGTGTATGGGGGGGGTGTGTATAGTGGGGGGGGGGGGTGTAGAGTGGGGGGTGTATGGGGGGGGTGTATAGAGTGGGGGGGGGGGTGTATAGAGTGGGGGGGGGTGTATAGAGTGGGGGGGGGGTGTATGGAGTGGGGGGGGGGGTGTATGGAGTGGGGGGGGGGGTGTATGGGGTGGGGGTGTATAGGGGGTATGGAGTGGGGGGGGGTATAGGGGGTATGGGGTGGGGGGGGTGTGTAGAGTGGGGGGGTGTATAGGGGGGGGGTGTATAGAGTGGGGGGGGGGGTGTATGGGGTGGGGGGGGTGTATAGAGGGGGGGGGGTGTATGGGGGGGGTGTATAGAGTGGGGGGGGGGTGTATGGGGGGGGTGTATAGAGTGGGGGGGGGGTGTATGGGGTGGGGGTGTATAGGGGGTATGGAGTGGGGGGGGTGTATAGAGTGGGGGGGGGTGCACATTGGAGGCGGCTGTCTGCAGGCGGGGCCGGCCGAGTGACTCGCGCTCGCTGCGGCACCCAGGAGGCAGTGCGGCTCCTCGCAGCGCGTGGCCGCCAAGAGCGGAGCGACACAGACAGAGACAGAGAGACACAGAGAGAGACACAGACAGAGAGACAGAGACACAGACAGAGAGAGACGAGGTGAGAGGGTCAGAGAGAGAGAGAGAGGAGGGCGACGAGGGGGGAGGAGGGGCAAGGAGAGACCTCGCTGGGGGACCCCCCCAGCACCGGGGGCAGGGAGACGCTGACCATGCGAGTGCACGTGGCGGTGCGAGCGTGCGCCTAGAGCCGGTGAGTGCGACACGCACCTCATCATCATCATCATCATCCACATCATCCACCACATCATCATCCACCACATCATCATCATCATCATCCACCACATCATCCACCACATCATCATCCACATCATCATCCACCACATCATCATCATCCACCACATCATCATCATCCACCACATCATCATCATCCACCACATCATCCACCACATCACCACCTCATCACCACCTCATCATCCACATCATCATCATCCACCACATCATCATCATCCACCACATCATCCACCACATCATCATCATCCACCACATCATCATCATCCACCTCATCATCCACCACCTCCGAGCACCAGCGTTCATCATCATCAGCAGCAGCAACACAACCAGCCAACACCAGCACCGTCGTCGTCATCATCATCAGCACAACACACCAGAACCATCATCGCAATGGTCATTATTCCCAGTAGCATCGTCACCATCATCATCATCAGCAGTCCATCGTCTGCCCGTGAACACTACTTGAAGCGGTCTCCGCCACAGTTCGCGATCAGCGGGATGAGCGCACGGCGCGATGCGCACTCCCCGCCACCTGAGTTCGATCAACGTGGGCGAGAAGGACGGAGAATCGATCGATCGATCGATCTCCCACTGCTCACCCAGCAGCTGTTTGATAACGGGCGGGTTAACGCGGACAAATCGAACAGCGCAAAGTGGTGGTGGTGGTTTATAGTACGGAGAGAGATGGAGAGAGATATAGAGCACACGGCAAAAGACCGACTTCACGTTTGCAATGGGCCCCCCACGGTGGTCAGTATTGGGCCCCCCACGGTGGTCAGCGTTGGGGCCACCGCGTGGTCAGCGTTGGGCCCCCTACGGTGGGCAGCGTTGGGCCCCCCACGGTGGTCAGCGTTGGGCCCCCCACGGTGGTCAGCGTTGGGGCCACCGCGTGGGCAGCGTTGGGCCCCCCACGGTGGACAGAGTTGGGCCCCACACGGTGGTCAGCATTGTGGCCACCGCGTGGCCAGCGTTGGGCCCCCCTACGGTGGGCAGCGTTGAGCCCCCCACGGTGGTCAGCGTTGGGCCCCCCTACGGTGGGCAGCGTTGAGCCCCCCACGGTGGTCAGCGTTGGGGCCACCGCGTGGCCAGCGTTGGGCCCCCTACGGTGGGCAGCGTTGGGGCCACCGCGTGGTCAGCGTTGGGCCCCCCACGGTGGTCAGCGTTGGGGCCACCGCGTGGCCAGCGTTGGGCCCCCCTACGGTGGGCAGCGTTGAGCCCCCCACGGTGGTCAGCGTTGGGGCCACCGCGTGGCCAGCGTTGGGCCCCCTACGGTGGGCAGCGTTGGGGCCACCGCGTGGTCAGCGTTGAGCCCCCCACGGTGGTCAGCGTTGGGGCCACCGCGTGGCCAGCGTTGGGCCCCCTACGGTGAGCAGCGTTGGGGCCACCGCGTGGTCAGCGTTGGGCCCCCTACGGTGGGCAGCGTTGGGGCCACCGTGGTGGCATTGCGCCGTCCCACACCGCGAGTTGTTCTTTAGGGGTTGGTGGGGTGGCTTGGGTTGGGTGCAAAAGCCCGCCACCACCGTGTTAAACTTAATTCCTGGTTATTTCGTTACGGTCACTTGATTTTGTTACTACTGTACATGAAGATAAACGTGGGTTTGAAATCGTGGATTTTTTGTTGTTGTTGCATTACCGGTAACCGGTAAAAAAACCGGTTTGTAAAAACACCACGTGGGAAACGGTTACCGGTTTGCCGCACATGTCGACATGTCGAGTGATAAGCGCAAGAAGTTTACCTTGTTTTAAAACCGATAAACGAAGGCAGCTGCCACAGTGGTGGGATGGTTTAGCGCGCTTGCCCTTGAAATTCAGACGACGTTCGCTGGTTCAGTTCCAATTTCCCGGCGCGGCAGGTGAAGCAATTGGGAAAGTTTCGTGAATCAACCATCAACCTCTGCCCCCCCCCGCCCAGCAGTATAATTTGGTTCAACAATCAGTCAATCGTCGTGTGTGGTGGGGTAAAGTCTGTGTACTCCCTCCTCTGCCAATACGTCTGGCGTCAGTGTGGAAGAGTAGACCAAAATACCCCCTCTAGTTCACTCCAGTGGAGGCTTTTCCGCGTGCCATGGCGTGAGCAATTGCATCGTTACCTGTTCACCGAGAAACGAGGGCCGTGTCGTTTGTGTGCTCTTGCGAATTAATGACTAAAATTCGAATGATAACGGTTACCGGTTCCTGCTGACTTGTTGAAACCGGTAACCCATACTGCAAACTGTTACCGGTTTAGCGGATTTCATTTGACAACCCGAGCTGCGAAAAAGAGCCTCGTGGCTCATCGGATTCCCCCAGTATAAATACATATTTTGATTCTGAATTGATGCACCGTGCGTGCAGTGCACGATATGCAACAAGAGTGTCAGTGCTTTGCAACGTGCAGTGTGTCGCAGTGTTTGTGCGTCGTATAGTGAGTGTAGAGTTGCAGTGGCGTTCACTATGTAGTGTATTATTGCAGTGGTGTGCAGTGCATTGCATTGGTGTGCACTGTAGTGTTTTACAGTGGTGTCCATAGTGTAAAGTATTATTGTAGCGGTGCGCAGTGTGTTGTAGTGGTGTGCACTATGTAGTGCCTTGCAATGGTGTGCACTGTATTGTATGTTCACTATACTTCAATGGAGTGTTCTGTACTGCAGTGGGGTGGTCTATACTTGAGTTGTGTAGTCTATAATGCAGCGGTGTGCTCGCTTTATAGCAATAGCAGGGGTATGAGACACGAGGTGAGTTCTTGTGAAGATGAAATGGAGTGCAGCAGTGAAGGAAAGCGTGGTGCCACGATGTTAGAAGTGAGGAGTTTGTGTGTTATCAACCTCTGTATCTATGGGGTGTGTTTTGAGTGCGCTGTGTTATGAGTGTTTTTTCCGGTGGTGAGATGTGTGTTGTGGGTGTGTTTAGAGTTAAAACGTTATGAGCTGGTGTATTGGTGTGTTTTGAGTTCTGTGAAATAGTGTATTGTTATGCGGTGCCAGTTGGTGTATTCTGTGAGTTTGTGTTGTGAGTTTGTGTGTAAGTTTGTGTGAGTCGGTGTGTACCGTGTGAGTATCCTGTGTGAGTTGATGTGTTTGTAGAGTTGTGTTTTGTTGTTGCCTATTATGTGCCGGGTGTGCGATTGAAGGGGGACACCACGATGCTGGGAGTGGCTGGGAGGGGGTGCCGGGTGGGTGGGCGGACCTTGCCTCGTGTGGGGTCTTGAGTTTGAGTTGCTTGATTCTGGGATGTTAATTTGATGGGGAGGGGGTGGGGTGTCTTTTTAAATTGTTGGTGGTTTGAGTTTGCCAGTTCTCAGAGTACTTTCTGTCAATGTGCTCCTTGGGGTCTTAGGGTCACTGTGCCCTTATTGAAGATTTGGGTCACAGTGTTTGCTGTGGACTCTTTTGCTGGCGTTGAGGTCTTTGGGGCATTAGGGGTCATTGAGGTGGGTGGGGTCATTGCGGGTCTCTGGGTCAGTCTATGGGGGTTCGCCGGGTCTGGGGCCGGCAGGATTATTGAGGAGCCTTGGGAACGGGTGGGGGGGGGAGGTCGTGTGCTCCGGTTTTGTTCACGGGGAATGCGGAAATGTCCGTGATCCGGGGATTGTCGCGAACTTTGTTGGGAGAGGAGAGTTGCTTCCCTGGCGAGGCCCCATGTGCTACTGCTGCTTCCATCTCCCCCCTCTTCCTCATTATTATCTTCCTCCTGCTCCTTCTCTCACCCTCCTGTTCTTCTTTCTCTGTTGCTTATGCCCCCTTCCTCCTGAGCTTTGCTTTTCCCCATTCTACTCATGCCCCCCTTGCTCGTGCTCTCATCTCTTTATCCTCCTACTCGTGTGCTTGTTCCTTCTTCTCATGCACCACCTGCTCCCCTCGCCTATTTCCCTTGCTCAGCCTTTCACTCCTGCTGTCCCCCCCCCTCTCTCCTGATCCCCTTTGTTCTCCCCTGCTGTTTCTGCTCATCCTCCCAATAATTATGAAACTTCTTCCCACTCTTCCTTCTGTTCCTTGTGTGCCTCTTCATTTGTATTTCCCCCGTTGCTGAACCCCCCTTCCTCCTCTTCATTCCCCTCCCGTCTTCCATCTCCTCCTCCTCCTGTTCCTCCTGCCCCCCCCTTCCCCAACCACGTCTCCCCACTCGCCCGCATTAATTGCATTAAAGCGTCCCGTTCACGGGCAACTAGTTTTATTGAGTCGCGCAGAGAATAATGACAATGACACACACAGTGACATTCCGCACGACTTGGCAGCCGGATTGCGACTACCTGTGTGGTCCCGGGCATTGCGGCGTCAGTGTGGGCGCGTGTGTCAGTGCCTGTGCATATATGTTATGTATTTGTGTGTGCGGAGTGGTAGTGTAGTAGTTAGCGCTCTGCATTACGAAGTTTGATTCCCGCTCACGGCCAACACCAGTGACGATTATCTAAACCCGGCATGGGCCTCCCCTAGGTCGGCTCGGCTATAAAATAATGGGTGCGTACACCCAGTGCATTAAATGGAGTTGTCAAATGTTGGTGTGCATGTATGTACAGCATGTGCCGTGTCAAAGTCATTGAAACTTAATTCAGTCTGACCTTTTGGTGAGTAACTTTAATTCAGACCTAAACACGATTTTTGGTGACTTCGTTGGCAGTGCCACGAGCACAATATCACAAAAAACTCGAAACATAATCATTATAATTCAGTCCTGTCTGTTTGCAAGTAAAGTTCTCAATAGATTGCTTTAGACCATCAATCCCACGTATATCTGTGTATAATAGTTTTTTTTGGGGCTAGATCGCGTAAATATGTGTCGTTAAAACCCGCCACCACCCGACACAGCCAACTAGAAAGGGTTGTCACGTAAACAGAACGTGGCCAATTCGTCACTAGTACAGCTCACTGGTACAGCACACCGGTGTGTTGGAGAGTCAAGCCACAACATTTACAATCTGATGTGTGCTGTATACATGTGCTGTATACATGTGTACGGTATGCATAATTCAGGCCATCCTTTGTTTAAAGAGCCTTTCAGCCTCAAAGGGGTTGTTCTCACCTGGTTGAATAAAGTTCACCACCTACAGTGATTCATTCCAAACTATTTGCATGTTCACTTAATTGCATTGCACGTACATGAATTGTCCTTCATTTGTATGTGCACTCGTTTGTTGTGCACATAGCATCGTGTATTTTATGTGTGCGAGCGTGTGTGCATTACAAATAGCGAGATATTTACAGATTCCCCACTGAAATGAAAGCCAATTAATTGAGAAAAAAACTACATTCTCTGTCACGTCTTCCAGCCATCCCGGTACAGTCTACGCATTGCTACGTCGAGATTTAGGCACACACAACGACTTTGTGTTGCATATACAACGTCTGTCTCACTCGGTCTTATGCGGCCACAGCAGCACAAAATAACTATCCACGTGTTGGCCGAAGTTGTTTCTGTTGGTGACGGGATTTTTTCGAGGGCTGAACGATTTGGGTAAAATATCTAATTGCGATTTTTCTGACAGATATTGCGATTTGATTTGCTTCAGTGCAATAGTCACTGCGTAATCTATTTAAAACATGTGATGGAGCGTTGGAGTGTTGCGATCGAAACGTCGTGATTTGTTTTATTTTATTTCTACCTACGTGACTTTACCGAAAGAACCAAAGAGTATGTGATGGAGCATTACAACATAATACCATCAAAATATGAACTGCTCTATATATTCTAATGCAAGGATGAGAATTTAAAATACATGAATCGCTTCCAACATGTATTTATTAAAATGTTTTAATTGAAATAGAACAATCAAACAGAACAATTGTTAAGTTAAACAAATAGAGTTATAATAATAAAAATAAAACAATTCCAATAAGAAAGTAATATGACTTTTCAAATCGCAGCCTTCGCGATTTGATAATCGATTTGAAATCGATTAATCGTTCAGCCTTAGATTTCTCACATCTGGCTCGTTACAAATTGAACACTGTTCCTCCGTGAGATGTGCAACAAACCAACCTGTTGAGAATAAAAGTACGCGTGGATCGTTAGATATCAGTGGTGTGTGTAAACTAATCGCACGATATGAATGCATGTAGAGTATGTGTATATGTAATGTATGTGTGTTAAGTTTTAATGAGCGTTTGTGCCTCCACATCTCCCTGGGTGGACATGCCCAAGGGGTGGGGAGGAGGAGGAGGGGGGCGCGTGTGTGAATGTGCGTGTGAGAGGCTGCTGTGTTTTTATGAATGAAAGCCTCACTGAGCTTGGTAAGTGAAAGCAATAGCTTCTGTCTGCTATGAGTGTGTGTGCATACATGTGTACGCACGTGTCTTTGTGTACACAGCGCGCGTGTGGGTGTGTGTGCGCGCCCACGTTTGTATGCACGGTGTGTGCATACGTGAGTATGTGGTTGGCACGTGTGCACGCTGTATGTATACTGGAGGAGTGAGTGGGTGAGCTTGTTGTACGTGTGTGTTTGTGTACACGCGGACGTGAGAAAATGTTACAAGACCTTTTCTGCGTGCGTACATGGGGGCCGTCCATAAATGACGTCACGCGATTTTGGACGAATTTTGACCTCCCCCCCCCCCTTCGTCAGACCCCCCCCCTCAAATATGACGTCACAAAGCTCTGCCCCCTCCATCCCCCCCAAAAATAAAACATGCTTCAAATTGTTTTAAACTATTGTCATTGTAGTGCGTATTTAATGTGGCGCTGCACTCTGATGTAGAAGAAAGCATTTATAAAAAAGTATATTTAATTAAGTAGAACGTGTTGTCTGTATTTATTTAAAGTTGCGCATTTTGATGTGACGTCACGTTTCTCAACCCCCCCCCCATCGTCACAAATGTCTGACCCCCCCCCCCCCCGAGGTGCGTGACGTCATTTATGGACGGCCCCATGTCTGTGTGTCTGCACCCATGTGCGCCTCGTCTGCATGCATCTGTATACGCGGTGTGTGTGCGTACGGGCACGTGTAATTGTGCACCTGTGTTTGTGTGTGTACTTTCATAGGTGCTGGCTAGCAGCACTTGGCTCAACAGTCTGTTAAGGCTTTACGGGGGATATTTGTCTTTGCAGGTGTGTGGAGATGCGGTGGTGCAGTGGTTAGCGCCCTGCGCTACGGACCCGGCCAGCCGAGTTCGATTCTTGCTCACGGCCAACACCAGTGACGATCATCTGAACCGGTCCTAAGCCACCCGTAGGTAGACTCGGCCTCAAATGAGTACCTGGTGTGGTATGTAAACAACACCGCTTGGGGGAGACAAAGGCGGCCGCTTGTGATTGTTGGCCACCCACACTCCCTCGTGTGCCGTTCTGGCCTTAATAGGTGCTCGCGAACAGCATGTGCTCACACAGTCTGTTAAGGCTACACGGGGGTTGGGGGGGGTGTCTTTGTCCATGCGTGGTGTACACTTCACGCACATGGCCGAGAGAAGTGAAAAGCAGCAGAGATATTCTGCACACAGTTTGGATAATTACGGACCGAGAGAGACATCGTTTTGAAGTGAGAGTGAGGATGTGTGTGTGTGTGTTTCATATAGGGGAGCGGTTGCGTAGCGGATTCTGTTTCCGCTCACGGCCAACACCCGGTGATGATTATCTGAACCGGTCGTGGGCCTCCCCTAGGTCGACTCAGCCTCAAATGAGTACCTTGTGCAGGAGACAAAGGCGGCCGGGCGTGGTGGTGTTGGCCACCCACAGCCCCTCGTGTGCCGTGCCGGCCTTCATGGGTGCTACTCGCTAACAGCACTTGCCCCAAACAGCCTATTAAAGGCTACGCGGGGAATCTTTGTCTTCGTGTTTCATACAATGTGTACAGTAGTTATTTAGGTTACTGAGGAATGTGACAGGCGTGCAATTTATACTGTTACTATACGGGAAATGCGTGGCCTCAGGCTGCTGCAGTGTGGACAACGGCAGGCTGTGAGTGCTCGCCTTGTGCTTGTTTAATCGTTACTGTATTAAAACAAGTAATTTTTTTTATCTTGTGATGGGTTTTTTTGATCTCGTCATTCACAGATTTGATCAGTGCCGTAACGCATAGCGATCAGCTACAAACATGTCCATGAGCGTCTGTTAGCTTTTCATAGTGGGACGATATTCATCATAATATCGTCATCCAAACGAATGGCTCGCGGGCATGGACAGCCAACTTGAGTTCACCTGAGCGAGCCCGATTTTGCCCAGGACTCCCAATTGATAAGACAACTGAAGTTAGCAACAAAAAAGTGTAATTCCCATGATTTTACTTGAGTTATCGCTTGAGTTGCGCTCGTGTTTACCATACGTGCCTAGATCTGCTGTGTCTGAATATTGATGTGGAATTCAGGCCAGCCCTATAAAAGAAATAGTTCAGAAGAATGCAGGCTTCTGCTCCAATTGGCAACTCCAGTTGTGGAAATGGAGTGCCGGTGGTTGCCTCGAGCTGTGTGGTTCATGAACATGTGGGGCATGAGTCAGAAGGGGTCCTGCATTTGGCTGTTTGGCCAATTCCTTAATGGGTTTTTTAGTGATTATGTAACTTTATTCATATGCACATTGAAGGAGGGACGACTGTGTGTCGCAGATCACTTTGGTATATATTCACACACGGGCTAACGTAGTGTGCAGTGCAATTTCATCGAAATGTGTTCCCCCTAAATAAATCCCAGGCGAATTCATTACCCATGCTTTTTAGTGGAATATAACGTTTTGTGGGAAAATTCCATGCGTGGCATTTTGCTTATTCTACAAATATGTGCACATTTATTGGAATTGATGATCTCAGAATGGTATTTTGCGTGGTTAGGTATACTGCATGTGGACGTGGTAAATTCCCCAGCCCTATTGTTATATATACGACCCGTGATAATTTTCATGTTCGTCACTGAATTATTATAATTAGCTTTAAAAGGTATTCGTCGGAGATGAAGTTTAACTTGTGAAAATAAGCATACTGAGTAGTACCTAGAACTTACATGAAAGTTTAAGTCCGATTACTCTTACAATCAAACACTACTTAAGGGCTTTCATGGCGTTATGAGTCGTATTTTCTACGTGGCCTTTGCTTTGCAGAATACTAAACATGTAAATATCGAGTTATTTACTTTGCTGTAAACTGGTTTAAGGGAGTGTTGATGCAGGACCACCGTTTATTGTTTCATTGCAATGCCAGTATTGTTTAAACCGATGGCATTGCAAGTTATGATTAGTGAACAGGTGGTTTAGAATGCAGGAAATACAGTGAAATAAATATTATTTAAAACGAAAGCACTATTAATACGCGGCACAGTTAAATGTGCCCGTATATTTAAAGATCAGTTTTGGCCATAATGTAAATGTCAAATGTACGATTTTTGAGTAGCGTACTGTTAATCTGGACAACATCTGCCTTCGCAACGCAAGTGCAGGCTATGTGGTGAGGTGCATGTGTCTCGTGTTGCTATACACCCTGAACAAACACCTTGCCCCCCCCCCTCCGCAAGGAGTTTGCTGCAGTGAGTCAGAGCCGGTTCACCAGGGGGTGGACCACAGGGACGGCGATCTGTAACGTGACCTATTAGCTCAGGCCAAATTTAGCAGAATTATCTCATTAATTTACGAGATGCTCTTGATTTAATGGCTTGGGAAGGTCCAACAAGCTTGAGTTAGTCTGTGTGTATTTTTCTTACCAAATTTAATAGAGCTGTGGGTGGATTTGTGATGAAGAAAAAAACAGCAGGGGATTGCTGCTTTTTAACAATTAAGGTAAATTATTCCCAGGCTGATAGTTGTGCTGTGCTTGATTGGTACAGCCATAAATGAACACTGCTTATAACCCTGCATCTAAACAGGGTTCATGCCCCACAAATCCTTAACATGAGGGTGGTATGATACCGGGCTATTAAAAAGCTATTTTACTATTTTTAATCGCGACATTAATCTTGAGCCCTAAAAATGGATGTCCTGAAATAACGCCACCACCTCCTCCAGGCGGTGTCGTCTCTGTGCCCGTTGGTTTTCTTCTCCGTCCAGACACCGTTTTTTCCCTCGTGCACACAAGTTCTAGTGGCACAAAAAGCGAACTGGAAAACACCTGAATGTATATTGTTGCCTCTCACATCGCTCCTACAAATGGTAGAAACTATTCAAGGCCAATTTGTCTATTCAAATAAAGGAAACCAGAGAACCGATTGTAAATGGACCATTATTTACCGGCAATGATTTTCCACTTAATCATCACTTCAGCCTCCACGTTAACACGAGCTTGGCATGTTTTCATGAATCCCTCTGACTTCACGTGTGAATCATTCTGTAGCGCACGTAAGGTGAATGGAAATTCAGGGCTACTTGAAAAGTACCCCATAGATTAGTCTTTAAAAATGAGTCTCAGGTATTTTCCCCTCCTTGTTCTTTTAGTAGCACGTGCTTCGCCCAGTGGCTCTTCGCTACACACGGTGTAAAGTAAATGGCCTCAATGCGAATTGACCAGGCAAACGGAATGAGAGGTGAGTGGTGATGATGGTGGTGGTGGCAGTGTTGCCGGTCCAGGTGGTTCCTGCGGTTGGTTTTGGTAGTTGTGGTTTTAGTGGTGGTGGTGGTGGTGGTGGATTGTCACGTGAGTGAGCACTTGGTGCCTGCGGCAGCAGCAAAAAGGCGCAGCCCGAGTCTTGGGCTCGGGGATTTGCCTGGAATCCTGCTTCTCCTCGCCAGCCGCGATCACACCTCCCTCGGGGGTGGAGTCTGACCGGTGCCCTGTGGAGCTGGGAAAATATTTGACATTTTTTGTGTTTCTCTGGTAACACTGGAGGGCTGTGTTGTAAACAAACTTGCCCCCTTTTTGTATCCGAGGCCTTTCTGGAGTTGACTAGTGGGATTTACAAAGCACGAGTTGCAACAATAAACCCAAGGAAACTCCCAACATTGATAGGGCCCAACGTTTTTTTCATTTTAATTACGGAGGAGCAAACTCTATTGGGGCTATGACACGAATGTTATATAAACACCTGGCAGTAGCCATGCGTTCGACCGATGCAGGTACAGCATTGTACATGGTCTCACAAAAGGTGAAAATCACATGTAGAATTCTAATTTCCAAAACTGCTTCCATGGGTAAGAATTTACTGTGTATGTATTTCCCTTTATTGCCTTGTACAGTACTGGGCTGTAACGTTTGATCTTGCATTCGTTTTCATTGACAACCAATACCCCATAAATATTTGGGAAACTAACCCATGTTTACGAGTGGGGGAAAAGTAAGATCTCCTGTACAATCGCAGCAGCGTTCAAGCCGCTGTCAGATTGATATGTCCACGGGTGCAGTGTGGTGATAAAACACACAGACATAACACGTCATTTTCACGGCAGTGGCAACCATCTGCGCTGACTTCATCACGGTCTCGGCTGCGATCTGACGTATAACAGCGTTCACTCATGCTGAGAACAGCAGGGCACAATCAGATAGTTTCCTCTTCATACCACTGCCTGTCTGGCATACTCTCTCCCTTGCTGACCTCCCAGCTTATAAAGTGAATGTGTATATATGATAACAAACGGGTAAAACTGTAAACCGCTTGCAAGAGTAATAAATCTCAAGTAATAAATCAACGGACAGTATAATCTAATCTGTTATTTGCCGTGTTGGTTGTTAGAATCGCCCAGATAATTGTTGTGTTATTTAGCATTTGATGTTGTCTGTGATTCGACTGTTCAGGCTGGGGACTGTAACATTCCATTGAAGAATACACTGGGATTATTCAAACCCCCGTCCTGCAGTACTTGAAAGTGACAGTGTTCATGTCGGGCAGCAGGCATGCATGGCATCTTGCTGTGGCATGTGCCGCCTTGTTATTTGCTGTGCAGCCGGTGGCTCAGTGAAGATAGTCCAGTGAGTGACATGTTGTTCTTAAGCTTGGGAGCAAAATGAGAGTTGGGAGGCACACCGGTTTTGTTATCAGGATCATGTTGTACCAACCTGATTTGCAGTGAATTCAAATATGTATTGTGTATACAGTGTACATATTTGAGATTTAAATAAATACAAAGAGCCAGAGCTATTGAAACACTTTGAAGTTCAAGCAGTGTTTGAATATTGGCTTTTGTAGGCAGCCTTTCATGTTCTATCCGATGTTGGAGGAACCACGCTTGGATGGATCACAAATTGGTCAACTTTGCAGCGTTGTCAAAACAAGCGTCTCTTGACAGACGGATGGCAGTAAACGCCGTACTCTGTAATCGCTGCTGAAGGTGACTCCCACAGCGGATCGGCGTTCCAGCAGAGAGGAGATCCGGCAGCGGATCAGCGTTCCGAGCAGAGAGGTCATTCGACAGCGGATTGGCGTTCGAGCAGCGGGTTGGTGCTGTCTTTCAGGCAAGCGAGGAGGCACACAGGGCGGCATGGAACAGTGCGGCGGCGACATCCGGCTGCAGTACGAGCCCATTGCGGAGATCGGCGTGGGGGCTTACGGCACAGGTGTACAAGGCGCGCGACCTGCAGAATGAAGGCCGCTTTGTGGCCCTCAAGAAGGTGCGCGTACAGACGGGTGAGGAGGGCATGCCGCTCTCCACCATCCGTGAGGTGGCCCTGCTGCGGCAGCTGGAGACCTTCGAGCACCCCAACGTCGTCAGGTTGGTGTTTGCCCCTCGCCCTGGCCGCTGTGCGACACGTGCGGCCCTCCTGCTCTCGCTTATGCGCTGCATCCTCCACTGTGACCGCATGCGTGGGCAAACTCCGACACCGTTTTATTCTGTCCCGCTGTGTGTATTGTCGTGATCACAAACCTTTTTGTCGCCCGTTTATAAATGCAGTCCGTGGACGTACCAGTCCTGTGTGTTTTTTCGTCCATTGTCTTTGTTTGTAGTTCGAGTAGAAAATTCTGTATTGCACATACTGCCACTGTGTTTAGGAAAGCCATCCCAAAGCCAGACATCCCTTTAGTACAGTGGTTTCCTACCTGTGGTCCATCGACCACTGGTGGTCTGCAAGGCTATGAACATTGGTCTGTGGAACGATTGTGTATACAATTTTTTTTCACAGTCATCTGTTTTCTGATTGGTGATCCAAGAAAATCCTTTGAGGGTTGACCTTGATTCCGCGGGTCCAGAACCACTGCTCTAGTAGATCTCACTTGATCACATTACCTAATATGATCCTTAAGTTTCTTCTCTTAAACAGCCGTGCAGGCAGCGTGAGTGCTTCCCTCCTCTATTTTGCTATAGAAGAGGGAATAATTATATTGTATTGTTACTCCGCTTATGTTTTAAACATTTCTTTCCTTCACTATGGGGAGCATACTTTCTGACATGCATTCATCTACCAGTCTGCTCCGCTCATCAAGCATCTGCGTATTTTGTTTTCTTCTGTAATTTTCCCCCATCATTCTGGCTACCTTTAAAATGTATTACCTTGATAATGACTGATGTATCTCTTTGTTGGTGCCGATGTTGTTATCCACCATTATTCTGCAGCAATGCTGCATGGCGTTTTGAGCAGTGACGGGTGCGGAGAGCCCCAGAATCTACGGGAGGATAATGACTGGCTTGCCGACAGGCTTCCCAGTGCCATTGTAGTATACACCTCGTTTTTGTCACGCCGCAGTTTTGAGGTTCTGACATGCCCCTGCAGTGCAATAAAACAATATTCGGGTTCAGATGCTCAATTGCGAGTGCTGTGGGAATGGTTTTGTTTCAGTAACCAATGTCGAAGCTCTCTTTCCTGAGTTGGCAGCATGGCAGTGTCTGCCAATGCTGCCATTTTGGTGTCTTCCCCACCCAAAAAAGCCGTTTTCCCTGACACTTGCATCAGGCTCAACATGTATGGCAGCAAAAGTGTTTTTTTATCTTGTCTGTGAACCACTTGGAGTTCGTGATTTCACTCCGTTATGCTTGTGTCCCGAGTAGACCAAATTGCTTTGACGTGCAGAGCAAGAAAAGGAAGAAAACCCCCCCCCCGCCCCCCTCTAATCTACAATGCATGAACTCTTTTTTTCTGTGGTCACCCACCACTGCATTGTCCGCTGGGCCACACAAGAGACTTCACAAGTGCCCTTTCAAGTTTCCCCTTTCTTATTGGTGTAGCATTGCGGGGGTGCGGCTCCACGCGTGCAGTGTTCCCATACACGAGCAGGATCGCCACAACAATGGGAAGTCTGCAGGGCGTGCATTCCTCAGCTAACGATCGCCAGGCTGCTTGTCCCCCACCCGCCCTCCAGCCCGCCCGCACGCCGCGTAAACCCCGCTTGTAGGATGTGCGCATCTCACACAGTGCCCCACCACCCCTGACTGTGAACGTTTCGGAATTGTAGCAGGCGTGGTGGCCGTGATGCGCGACATCTATACAGTGCTCTGGAGGTGGGGCTGGTGGATTATGTCGAGTTAGTGATAATACTACGCTATTTACACATGAAAGCCACACTGTGTTTAAAGGTGCTTTTTTCGAGGAGTCCTGAATTGAGATGTTTGGTCAATTGCTTTAACGAGCGTTAGGCATGTGGAAGATAACTGGAGTACCCAGAGAATACCAAAGTGGACAAGATAATACCATGCAAAGCTCCGCACAAAAAATATTTAATCCATTTCTATGTTTTCATCTCCTGGCCATCTTGTAGCCCAAGCCGATATCACCTATTATTCCCTCCTGAGCAGTCTCACATCCAAGTACAAGCTAGGCTCCAGCCTGCTTAGCTTCCGAGATCCAATGAGATAATGTACAATTTGGGTTTTGTGGTCTGAGAGCATCTTGTGATGTGACAATCTTTACCTGCTGGCCTGCAAAGTGATCAGTAGATAGCACAGCAAGGATATCACTGACCTCTACATACAGATTTGTCCTCCTGAAAAACAGTCTTCAGACTCCAAAAGGCTGTCCTGGGTAAAGGAAAGAGTAACTCTTTTTCATTAAATGAATTTAAATAGATGAACACAATATAAATATTTCCCACATACTTTTTGAGGAAGTTTATGCCAAGTTAGATTCATTGGGCTGATAATTTCATATTTTGCATCAGGCAATTTTAGAAATAAATAAATATTTCTGTTGCTTCATTAGTGTAATAATTAATATTTGACAGCTATTTGTCAATCCACCGCTGGATAATGGCCTCCCCACACCAGGATGGGTCGTTTCACCATACTTTACACTAGCCAATGCTAAGACCGATTCAGATATCACTTGCTACTGATGTGAGCAGGGGCTCGCTGTGTGTACACAGCGCAACATGCTAGACACTGCCGCCACCACACTCCCCTTTCACCGTGACTCACCACCCTCTGCCGTTTGCGTAATGCACGACTTTAAATACTTTACCGACCACGCGAGATTATTCTATCATGTAAACCCGCAAAAGCCAGTATTCTTAATGTAGGGCTTTGTCTTTTCCTGTGGCTGTGGGGGCTTCAGGAACATGCGTAATGCGTAACTCATTGTGGTCACAGTGAACCCTGCCTAGTCGCCCGTCTCCTTCCCACTGATGCCTCTTCCAGTCACTTTTTGCCATAGTTGCTGTTGAAAACTTGGTGAAAAACATCGACATGTCAGAGTCCAATGTGCAGTTCTCTGACATTGCACCTGCTAGGCACACGGGCTGCCAAATCGATGCATTCATCTTTTCCATGCATCTATGCATTGAAGAGGTTTTCTTCAGTGTGAACTTTTAAGTGGACGACCGAGATTTTGTGGCCATTTGTCATACAAATGTGAGACTGCATTCTGTGTGCTCTGCATTTACCATGCAAACTGTCCCAAAGCACAATTTGAAACGCACGTTATACTGACTTATTTGATGTCGTCATCAACAACAAATATTATATAACTGTTTAATTTGTGTCGGAATTGCCCGTCAAAACCAATCCACATTAATTATTGATTTGAACAATCAACATGAATTCAGTCGTAATAATTAATGTCAACGTAAGATAATGTGTGCATGTTGTACGTATTAATTGTTTGGATGTGAGAAGCACACTCTGGGAATGCTGTGAGCATCGTGGCCATGACAAGCAAGGTTAAAGGTCTATGTCACAAATGTTTTACCAGCACATAGCTCAGCACTGCTACAGTTGGTGGGTTTTACATTGCTTGGCTGACATTTTTGGAATTTTTGTGGCGTGAGACAATTCCTGGCCTAACCCTATTCCTTATGCCAAACGAAGCCTCCAGACACAGCTTGCAGTTTACCATGCGGCTGCTGGGGTTCGGAGAGGAAAGGCTGGCGCATTTCGCCGAATATCCCCTTTCATCCATTAACACACAAAGAACGGCACGTCTTTATGTATGTATGTGTGTACGTGCATATGGGGAGCGGTAGTGTAGTGGATAGTGCGCTGTGTTACGAGCTCCGCGACCAGAATTCAGTTCCCGCTCATGGCCAACACCAGTGACGATTATTTGAACTGGTCCTGGGCCTCCCCTAGGTCTACTCAGCCTCAAATTATTAGCCGATGTGGTGTGCAAACATCGCCACTAGGAAGACAAAGGAAGCCGGGTTGCGGCCACCCACCCTCTCTTGTGCCGTGCTGGCTTTAATAGGTGCTCGCTAGCAGCACTTGCCCCAACAGTCTGTTAAAGGCTATACAGTGGATTTCTGCCTTTATGTCAGATATATATATGTTGAGTTGTGCAGTGGTTCTTATGCATGATTGAACCATTTTGTTCTGCTTGATGTCATAAGGTTAAAGCAGAACATGTTTAAACCTACTTTCTGACCATTAGTGCTGGATTTTAGCCCTGCTTATTCCTTTGTGTTGTTTTCTCCAGATCTCCTGACCGTTATATTTGAAGCACATACAGTACAGCAGTGGCAGGGCATGCACGTTTACATCATACGTGAAGTGCATTTTTGTTGTTGTCTCAGCAAGAATAATTTTCCCAATGGCCAATCAGATATAATCACAAAATGTGTTCATTGTAACGATATTAAACTGGTTTGTTTGACGGTCAGGATACTACATAGTCATCTTGTGTAGGTGTAATGTGACAATGTAGCCCACTCACCCTTTATTGTGTTCTCCAAGCAAGGTTGTGGCACATTTGAAGAGTTCAGAAGAGGCTTAGTGGGCTATATTCATCAGGCCGTGTCACACTTTGTACGACATGCGCACTTTCATTTCACTTTTTTAATTTGTGTAAAGTCGATCAGTGATTACTTGAAAATTACATGAAGCAAAAAATTATAGATTTCCCAGTCCCCATTGAAAAAGACATGTTTACAACTCGCAAGTGAATGTTTCTTCTTGGTAAATATTCAGATAGGACATTTATAACGCTGCCTATTTTAATAAAGCTAAAACTAAACTATTTTTATGATAACTAAACAATTTTTATTTTACCAGGTAAGGCCCACTGAGCTATATCGCTATTTTTCAGAAGAGACCTGGCCACAAATGATATCTCAACGAAGTGGCTTATCATGTGGACATTTATAACAGCCAAATACTCTAAATGCAGGTTTCTAAATGTGGAGAGAAAAACCAGAGGACCAGGAGAAAAGTCTACGCGACCACAGGGCAAACATGAAAATTCCAAATTTAAAGGCGTCAGAGTCAGGATTGAACCCATGACTTCCTGCATACCAGGCGAGGTAGTTAACGTCTCGCCACCGTGGCGCCCCAAACCTGCTCCTTCGTGCATT